CCTCATCGAGGTTACTTCATCAATCCAAACGTAATTGATTCGATTGATTATGGTTTCCTATATGAGTTCAGATGATACAGACAACAAAACCTAATTAAACAATAATTTAGAGCTTTCATATAACAATTTCTTTTAAATTGCCAACAAATTATATCTGTAAAATCCGTGACGTATTATCGTGCAAAAGCGTATTTGTAATCTGTTACACGATTTTTCACGTGCTTCCTGTATAAACATATCATTTTAATGCTTCAGGTACTTCAAAACTGGTTGGATAACCACGTAAGCAAAGGTTATTAAAATAAATAGATTTAACGTATCGAAATCTGTTGAAAAATATTTAGATGCCTCTCATGCTTCCTAACTGCGATTTCCACGATCCTTGTCGAAGCATTAGTTCAATCTAGTGCATTTATGGAATAACTCAAGCGAAACAGTAAGTGAAGGACAGTGGTGACATTTGCAGCTATAAAATCGGATTCAATAATCTAAACATTAATATATTGAGTATGGATGAATCGGTCAGGAAATAGTGAATTAGGCATTGATTAACTTTATAACCCACTGAATTTGATATAGCTTAGCGTTCTATACATTTATATGCTTTGTGTTATTACATTTAATAATAACTCGAAGGTTACTGACGGTCCCAAGACCGGGTAAAGGAGGAGGGTTTGGCATGAGGTCGGCAACCTCATCCCCAATACAGCCTTTCTTCGAGATTCGGACAAACTCAACGAATTTGAGATAACTCCCAACGACGGGTCCCAAGCCTTGCAAGATCTGCTGAAAGAAGAAGAAACTACTAGGGAGGACAACTGGATTGAAGCACTAACCTCAACATGTCAGGAAGTGCTGAGCCGCAAAAAGCTTCGTCATAAGGAATGGATCTTCATTGAAACCATGTTTGGGATTCAAGAAAGGAAGAGTAAGAAAACAGCAATTAAGAACAGCCGAACAAGAGCAGAGACAGTCAAGACACAAGCTGATTACACTGAAGCAGACAAGCAAATGAAGTGGAACATTAGAGCTTACAAGTAGAAATACGCGGGAGAGCTGGCAACGACAGAGAATAAGGCTACAAGAGAAGGAAATATGAAAGAGTATGGAAATATAGTAAAACAAAAAGACTGGTCAAGGATAGAGAAGGCAAGCCACACACTGCTACTCAAGAACAGAAGAACACATGAGTAGAACATTTTGAGTAACTCTTGAATAGACCAGCCTCAGTGAATTCACTGAACGTCAAAGCGGCATACACAGACATGCCTATAGATGTCACTCTACCAATGACTGAAGAAATCAGGATGGACATCAGACAAATGAATAGTGGGAAAGCAGAAGAATCTGACAATATACCAGTCGAAGCACTGAGGTCAGACTTAGAAGTAGTTGAAAGTATGCTTCACGTTCTACTGAGGAAGATTTTGGAGGAAGAACAAGTGCCACCGACAGACTGGGAAGAAGGATACCTCATCAAGATCACAAAGAGAGGAGATCTGAGTAAATGTGAGAACTTCAGAGGCATCACATTACCGTCAGTACTAGGAGAAGTCTTCAATAGAGTGTTGCTGAACTGGATGAGAGATTCAGTAGACGCTCAACTTCGAGATCAGCAGGCCGGAATTCATACAACGTACTGCACTGCAAAGTCTTTCATGGAGGACACCTGACAGACACATTCCAAGTGAGGACCAGAGTCAGACAAGGCTGATTACTGTCTCCCCTTCTCTTTCTTCTGGTGGTTGACTGGATTATGAATACCTCGACATCTGAAGAGAAGCACGGAATACAATGGACAGCTTAGATGCAACCAGACGATTTGGACTTTACAGATGACCTATCCCTTCTGTCCCATACAAACGAACAAATGCAGGTGAAAACAACCAGTGAAGTAGCACCATCGATGCAGACGCAAAGTCGAAGATTGACAAAGCAAGGATAGCATTCCTACAATTGAAGAACATATGCAACTTAAAACAACTGTTTGTAAGCCAATATCAAAGTTGGAATCTTCATTACGAACGTCAAGACAGTTCTACTGCAACTTGGAGAACTACCACAACCGTCATCAAGAAAATACAAATATTTCTAAACAACTGTCTACATAATATATTGAATGTCCGTTGACAGGATACCATCAATAACAGCCTACTGTGAGAGAGAACAAACCAACTTCCAGATGACACGGAAAAGATGTTGGAGGTGGATATGACATACATTACGGAAATCAACAAACTGGATTACGGAGCAAGCGCTAACTTGGAATGCTAAAGGGAAATTAGAAAGAGAAAGACCAAAGAACACAATGCCTCGAGAAATGGAAGCAGACATGAAAAGGATGAGTACTAACTGTAAAGGACTGCTCAGAGCAGAGTTGGATGGAGAAGGCTGGCGGGTGGCCTATCCTCCTCAACGAGGGGTAACAGACCCAAGTCAGTGTGTTATAAACAATTAGACAACTTTGATAAGCTTCGATTGTATTAATAAATGGATGCGTTTATAATTAATGTTTTAAGAGAAAAACAGACGGGGCAAGATTAATTCAGCTTCAATACCTTCGGCTATAGACCTAACAAATAAAGATGAAATTTATGGATGTAGTATGAACACTCGTTATATAGTAAAACTCCATGGCAACAGATTTCACCAGACGCAATTCTAGATAATTCAGCTCATTATCAAAAATAACGATAAAGCGTATTATTATTATTATTATTATTATTATTATTATTATTATTATTACTAATGATCCCGCCGTTGATCCTCGTAATTTTATTTTGCTTGGTAGGAATAATGATGAATCATTTAGCAAACATTTTGTAAATGCATGTGGTAATATGTCATCACATAAAGGATCATTTAATGAATAAAGTACGGTGACACATCTGGTTGTAATCTTGATTTTAACTGATTAGAAAACTGATAAGTTTTTATATTTTATTTATTGAGTACATGAAATTATCAGCAAACATTTGTAAATCTTATTCTTTAAAGCTTTCCGTGTATTCAGTAGTTGCTATAATTATCTTATGCAGTGTAATCTATGCAAATCTAGGTATATATTCTTAGTTTGTTTACTTATCTTATTATATAAGTTTTCCTAGGGTTATTTACATCGATATTATTCTATATGACAAACGTTAGCTGCCCCACCTGGTTACGAAATAATAGGTTAAGTATTAGATTTATTATTTATTTAGCAAACATGGAATTTTTCTTAGTAAAAAAAGCAACTTGTAAATACTGAGAATTAAATTATAACTTTTTGATCAAGCAGTGTAATTTACTTTTGAGGACTGAATGATGATGTTGATCGACTAACTCATTACAGAAACTTTAATTATCTTATTTTGGTTTGGTTTAAAAGGTAAAGAGAAAATACCGGTAGTGAAAAGAAAAATATTTTCAGTTGACAAATATAGTATAAATTATAAAATCATGAAAAAGCTCGAGTTTTTATTAGTGGATTCAATTGTAAAACATCAGAGTATTTCACTGATCTTCAGTTCATCATGATATATTGTGTTCCGTAGCTCTATAATGTAGTCCTTCTCTATGTGTTTGTATATATTACTGTCAGTAATTCAAACGTCTGACAAAATATGTCATGGTAGAGAGTATTGAATGCATTATGAATATATCTTGTTTTTAGGATGATGAACACGATATCTATCGACAGATAGTCCGCAGTGATATAAGGCGGTAGGTTGATAACCGCTTCTAAGACCGAAATATTATCATGAACATCCAAATAACTTGAAGTCGAAGGCTGACACTATTCGGTACTATGTAGAATTACACAACTGTATTTAAAATATGAACAAGAGACAACCATTATTAAGTGTAAATAAGAACTTTCGTCTAAATTTGAACGAATAGTTTCACAATATTTGGGCGCCGAGTTAATGTGAGACATTAAAGAGGAAGAATGTATTAGTAAAATCTCAGTGAAAGAATTTGAAGTAAATCCAACGTTTCGCCTGGCAACCTGGTCCAAGCTTCTTCAAGGAAAATATAATTAAACAACAAAATTATCGAACATATATATAAGTTGAATGCCGATTTCTTGCTATATGTATACTAAATTATATTATCACCTTTAACCCAAACGATACAGTAGTAACTGATATTATTCCATCGAAATTGCAATCCAATTAGTTATGTGCAGACTTAAAAGTTTATAACTTATGTTAATCACTTATTACACCAATAATCACTTTTTTACATGAAATCTCTTAAAAAGAATTCAAGCTAGTTGAGGATTGGTATGTAGTATCCATTATGAATAGATCCATTTATTCCACCTGAAGTTGGCTCAAGTAAACTCATCACTTGGTCAGAAAATCGCTCCTAGACGAATCCGCTTCACGCAATTAAAATATTTAAGCAAAGAAAACTAAACAAGTTAACATTTCCAATTGAAAAAAGGAACAATATAAGTAGAATAGGCTTGAACATATACTTTTAAATTATACAAATATAATCCGTCATATTAAGTAGTATTTTCATTTTCTTAACTTAATCGGCTGTGATTTTGTCACCAATTAATACATAATAACATATGAAGTTGGGCAAACATAAGGGTTTTAATAACAGTACTCCATTATCTATTGAACGAATATTACAAAAATGTTGACAGAAAAGGCATCTACCTATTCTGAGTTTTATGAAGAAGGCGGAAGCCAACCATCTCAATTTACAATCTAGAAATTAGTGGTTTAAAGTTGAAAAAAGTAACGTTTATTGTTATTTAACCTAAGAATGTTTCACCGTAGGGTTTCTGATGGATATTAAACCAGTTATTTGTGATAATTTTAGTCAACCTCAAATTGATAACGACAGTGTGAAGGGAAAAACTACTGGCAATTTTCTGACCATTACTTTCAGCCTTGGTCATTCATCTGCTATATGATGAGTTATACAATCCTATTTGAATATTTTACACAAATACATTTAGCTAACTCACCAGTAAGTTGTGAAATTTGCTAAGATAATTTATTAAAAAGCGATATCAATCGGTTTTCGTGGAAAATTCTTTGGTTTATAACTTCTTAAATAGAACAGAATCACCGCCAGCTATATCAACAGTAGCAACAACGACTACTCCTTCTACTAATCAATACAAATATCAAGAACTGTGGCCAATTTCCCCTAAACAGTCAAAATATCAACTTAAATTTGGAATCGATACAATACTTGGCAGTGTGGATACAAATGAACACTTATTGAAGAAATCCTCCGAAGTAACAAATGATTTGAAAAAGTTATTTGAAGTGAAAACAGATCAGTTATCAGTAAAAAGTACAACTTGTATAATGACAGCAAATGAAACAGAGTCTAATTGTGTAAATATATATTCTAATGAAGAGAAAAGTGTTTTAAATAAGGACGGATCTTTGACAAATGTGAATTTACCTTCATCTGAAATGATGAAAACATTGTCTATGACTTTTTTAACACATCAATCTCCGACCATCCTCTCCTCTTATGATCATCACAACATAACTGTTCTTCACCAACTTCATCCATACAACCATCAATACCACTGCAATCTTCTTTTGTTTCTTTCTTATGGTTCAATTCCTTTGGTCAATAAAATTAAAAAATCATCCGTTTCATCTGGTTCTTCATCATCTTCTTATTTATCACCAACAATACAAAAAGAACAAATATATTTCCATGACACCCCTGGTAAACTATGGTTAACTCCACAATTACACAACAATATGGTAAAATCTACAGAATCTTCAACTGTAAAAATACATAAAAATTCTGATTTGAAAGCATTAGATCATAGTTATTTATCGGATGATCAAAGTGGAAATTCTGTAAATGTGAGTTAATTTATTTGTCACAATATCTATTCGTTAGTATGATGATGTAAAATGATTATAACTAGGTCGGTATATTTTATACTTATCATTTAACTTGTAATTTGTGTCCTGTGAATGATTTTCAATTTTATCTGAATGTAGATATGGAATGAGGGGAAAGTTTGTCATGAATGTAAGCATGTATTTAGCTTTTAGTTTTTACTTTGGAACTACAGACTTCATGGAATGCATTCCGTCTCAATCAAAAGACATATATATTAATATCGAAAGGGGTTTTGTGGATATTGTAGTAACTTCAATAGTTGAGATCATGAGTCAACTGACGCTAAACCATTATGGAAAACCTGGAAGCACTGAACGGCCGTTTGGTCCTAGTGTGGGACTACTCAGTAGTGCGCATCCGCGTTCTCTCCTCGCGAGATCCAAACCCAGAACCTATCAGTCTTGCGCTCGGGCGCTTAACAACTAAACCACTGAACTGGCATCCAATTTGCTGACTGTCATAACGTCTTTATTAATTGTCTGTTGAATAATAACTAGTGAAAGGACAAAATTCCTGTTTATGGTCAGAAGTTCAGGTTACTTAATACAACTTACAAAGACATTATTGCCAAGTTATTCTCCTGATAAATATACTTTCGTTATGATATCAATAACAGATTTAAAATGTTGAAATTCAGTTTTCTAATGATTACTGGAATAAATTAAAATCAATTAAGAATTTGAATGGACACAGTAGTGAATATTTTATTTATATTTGTGTTTAGTTTTAACCATGAATTGACATAATTTATCGAAACGAGAATGAAATAGGCGGCTGATTCATTTTAATTTGCGTACGAACGAGCACGTTCCATTACATCGAGTTGAACGAAAACTTTTCAGTGTCGCGTCAATCTGTATCGAGTTTCTACACCAATGGAGACACTATTATGATTTAAATAGATGGTTTTTTAAGACTTGTTCGATTAAAGACAATGTTCGTCGAGGATTTCTCCATCTACTGGATAACCTTTAAAACTATTTTTTTCCTGCTTAAATTCTTTATGCTTTCTCATAAATTACTGAATGATGGTTAGGTCAATAAATAATTATTTGGTTAAACCTTTCAATTACTATTCTTTGGAACAGATTTCATGGCTATTCAACTGTTTCTTGTCATTCACTAGGGTAGTCTCCTATCACGGTAGTTGGTTTCATTAGTCCAGATGCATTCAGTCTTTATTTTCTTTTAATTTTTGAGTCCCAGTAATCTTCTATACATGCTTACTTTTGATCTGTTCTTTTAAAACCGTATTTTCCAGAGTTCAGTCTCCCTAACTACCACTAATTTGAGTCCTTTGGTATTTATCTTGCTAAGTTTATGCTGCTGTACTGATGTAGTGTGGCAGCTTGGCCTGACACACCAATTTAATAGGGTTTGTTCAGCTTATGCCTGCTAATAGTTTTCAAAGATTACTTCAAGGCATACCTATACTCAATGAATGAACAAAAGAATTATTCAAATGCTCGGTACTGATAAGTCCGTCCTATAAATTTAATTCTTCGAAGAAAGATAAATGACTTTTGTAACTATCCTACATTTAGGAATCATTTCAATAATCCTCCCAAAACAGAAAGCCCTTAAAATTAGCTGCTTTTCATTTGTTTCATTTCCGCTAAACCACTGACTCAAAATTTTATGATTTGAAATATGTAAAGTGATGTGAATCAAATGAATTGGATTTAGGGATTCGCCAAAAGAATTTCATGAAAGCATGCTTTCTAGCAGATAAATTTGGTACTGATCTAATACTAAGGATTAATAAATAAATTTATAGGAATCTAAAACGTAAACTTTGATCAGTCAGCATATGATAAACAGTTTTATGTTGGTTAATCCCCAGAGGTAATTAATTTCTATCAATTATACTGGAAATCAGAGATTACCATGACTTCATATAGTGACACAAAACATTTGATGTTAGATGGTTTGAGGCAATCATGAGGAAGCTGTAAACCTAATTTTAGTTCTAATTAGAACTCATCACCATAGCGTATCCGTAATCATGAGCTATCCTTGGAAATGAATATATCCTTTAAATAATTCGATTTTCATTTGAGATTGGTTATCGGAGTCACCAGTTTTCATTTTGAAAATTTACTGATTTTAATCCAGTCAACTGTTTATTATATTTGAGTAAGACTTTTAACAAATACAATCGGTTTCTGTATTAATAAATAAAAAGAGAAGTTAAATTTGTATTCTATGCTAGTTTCTTAATTTTTACATTGTTTTTGGCCGCTGACTTTCTCATCAATCCATTTATGTTCTATTTATCGACAAAAAGTTACATAGTGGTACAGTGTGACATAAAAAAGTGCTTGAATGACACGTCTTAACAAGATTTCTGGTCGAAATTTTGGCAGAATTTATTATAATTATTATTAGCATTTCAACATTAGAATTGTAATGATGATGTATGCTGCTGCCGTTTTTATTCATGAAGGTGCAAACAATTTATTGTCTACATTATTTAACTAGAGAAAGAAAAAATAATAATAATTATGTCAAAACCGAGTGAACAAATGACTAATCTTAATACACGGTAGAAGAAATGAAATTATATAAATGCGTTGTAAATCTGAATCATTCCACTAAACAAAAAGAAATTTGTAATTTACAAGACAGTAAAATTATTCGGAATGACAAGGACGAGAATATAATGCTCCTTTTTGTATGGATTAGTTGGTAATTGATCAGCGTATATTATTTAGACTACTATTAGTTATTATACTTGCAGATTTTTTGACTAAACATAAAAAGTGGTTAGTTAGTTTGTTGGCTAGTTAAGTAGGTAGTCTGTTATTTAAGTGGACATGTTTCACTAATGAACCATGGTGATGCACAGTATACTAATGTGACGTGTATTAACATGATAAATATTAGTGTACTTATATATTCATATTATTTTCAATAGAAGTTTGTTCTGATTTCTATACAGTTGGGAAGACTTATTGAAACGGTCATATTTATCTATTTATCATCATAGAAATAAAAGATCATTCTATTGTTCAGTGAATTTATTCAAAAGGCTTTCAATAAGATATGGTAAGAATGACATTTAAAGTACTGAATGGTTAAATATAAGATGATAATAGTGCTAGTAGTAATAATAATAATAATGGATATATGAATAATTCATTAACGATTAGATTAATTAACTAAATAAAAGTCTTTTTTATTATTTCGGGTTAATTGGAACAATATAATATGTAAATAAGGTGGCGACAAGTTGAATCTACATAGTCAATTAGAAAAAGGATGAGGGTTATTAACATCTAAAGGGAAAATAAAGGTTTTGATGAAAATACCTGATTGATTTTTATGTCTTTTAATATCTTTGGCCTACTTGTTAGTTGTTTTTTAAACAGACAATTTTGATGATATTTGTCATTTGGTTAATCGAAAAATAAGAAGGTCAGTTTAATATGAGATACACTGATGAGAAAATAAATAATTCACCAAGGTGGTTTGAAGAATGTAATTTTTACCACAAATTAACATGAATTTGAGGAATCAATGCAAAGCAGATGATACATAGTTGTTAGTACTAATTTTGAAATACTCAGCAGTCTGCATTCATTATCCACACACTAGGTAAAATTTAGCAGCCTTAAGTTAAATTTAGGATATGAGTTGTAGAACAATACTAAGCAACACTAACTTTATTGACCTTTGCAGAAATGCTTGAGTAAACGTAAATACCTATATATATATATATATATATATATATATATATATATATATTGATCTAGGGTTGTAGAAGCACGTTGATGAAGCGTTTCAACCAAGATTAAAATAGTCTTTCGTCACCCTCTTGTTTTCACACGCTCTCGATCTGATATCAGTTCATGGAATTGTGTGATCACAGTTAATAAAGCAGATAGACTTCAGTGGCAAAAACAAAATGATTACTTGTGAAATAGTCTTTTATTCCTTTTTTGAGTTCATTGTGAAGAGAAATATCAACAAACTTGTTTTCTCTCCAAGCCAATACTAACAAATTGAAATATGCTCATATTCAGGCATAGTTTCAGGAAATTCCTTTTTTTTCTATATTTTGTATTTTAAGTAATTTGGACACGATTCAGTTAGCAATGATGAATCTTGTACTGAACTACTGAATTTTTTGGTACATAATAATTTCAAGCATTAAATCTTTATTCCATTTAGATTGGTCATTTATTTTTTAAAAGCTCGGTTTATCTTAATAATTCCTGTCGCAGAAAGATTACCGTTTTCGAATCAAATAACTACACCACGAAAATAAATTCTATTATTATCGATAAAAGATATGAAATATCGGAAAACCTTTTCTGGAAGTGAATGGTATGTATCACTGGAAGATCGCTTCATTCTAGTTGATCACTCCTCAAGATTACACATTAATTATTTTAAATAAGATAGAACCTGTAACCATTAAAACGAATAAGACAATGTTCATTTACTAAGTTTACATTTGATAGTCCACATTTTAAACTATAGTGGATCATTCAGATCTTAAGTTAGATGACAGCTACTGAAATTTTCCTTTAGAAAAAACCCAAAATCTAGAGGTTTTACTCATACTATACTTATTTTTCTACAGGTATAAGTGTACGTACATATATTCGATCATGAACTGTAGAAAAGTGTTTCAATTATTTAATCAAAGAAATCACTAGGTTAATTTATTATTATACAATTGTGATATATTAGTATGGAAAAAAAAAATTAGGCTTAGTAGTTGTTACATGATCTATTAAAAATCTGATATAGATCAGATGATAGTTTCAATGGAACAGTTTTCTTCCGATTTATATATATATATTAAGTACTTTTAATGTTTATTATATTTCCTTATTATAAAATTATTGTAAATTATAGTAAACTACCTATAAAATGCTGTGAAATTTCACAACAATCTTTTTTTCGTTTTTGAGAATTGTTACCTCCACTTCTTTAGCTTAGTTGCAAAACTTTTACAAGCTGAACAGAATTTTTCCATATTCTGCCAATGAAACTAGTTTCAGACATCCCATTAAGAAAACGAAACTCAAACTGAAACTTTCATTAAACTCATAGTACTCAGCACTTCATTTAAGTGGATCTATTTATAGAATGTAGGTTTGAACTCATCAGTGATAAATTGAGTTTAACATTGTGAGAAGTGAAACAGGAATTATTGATAGCAAACATCCATCTCTGGATTATGAATCGGTTGTCGAAGTGTATCGTGAACATAATGAGATGTCGAGATCTTATATCCTACCCGATAAGGCGTCAGGAATGAGCACTGTTAAAATTTTTCAAGCTTTTACAATATGATTACTCACCACCCTCTGTTTCTCAATGGCTTTCATTTAGGTGTTTGTCCTGAACAAAGGAAGACTGTCAATCAAATAATCTTCACACTACTATACCTTAAGATAAACCGAATACGTCAATCCCATAAGTGAAGAAACTCTTAAGAGAATCACAATAACCCTTTCAGCTAAGAATGTGAATTAGCATTACTATATTTATCGAAATATATAAAATTCAGTGATAATTCTGTCAAATAACCTAAATATTAGCGGTAATTAACTCATGTATATTTATAACCTAATTGAAGTACCTTGTAAAAAAATTGATAGAAATCAAATAATATTGGATTTAAAAAAACTTTTAAACATTATTAAAAGCAGGTAAAACCCATAAATAGACGAAATCCGGAGGAGAAAGAGTATTTTAATGTAAAGTGGGGGACAGTATGGTATGAGGACAAACTTAAAATAACCGTGACGAATTTCCAGTCAGTCAGAAAACAGATTTCATAAATGAATAATTTACGAAAAAGTATATACCAATATTGGAAAGTGTAAATAACTGTCATACGATAATAAGTTTTTAACGGCTTTTACAGGTTGCTTTGTAAATAAAAAAAGACATTCAAGAGGCGCTACCTGATTAGATTGTCTATAAAATGCAGTGGCACCAGGTTATGTTTTGTTTCAGGATTAAGGGTTTAGTATTTAGATTTAGGCGTTGTGTTGATATAAATTCACTTGGTATTGTTTACTTGAATCTTCGAACACCGGAGTAAACATCAACTCTGAGATGCGAGTACATCCACCTGACGAGTCCTAAATGGAAAGAATCTCCTGTCCTGGATTCCACCACTAGCCACCACCATCTCTGCTTATAATGCTTGTGATTTAAGGCAATATCGAGGCAATCCTAACAGGATGTACATATGCTAATATGAGACTGATCAATTGCAGTCCAAAACATCAATGGGAAGATTCAAATAGCCAATACAAAAATGTATCAGAACCTAGGATGTTCGCTAAACTATTTACCGTAAATTCAGGTAAAATAAGCTTACTGATGGAAGAACGGATTATTAAAAGCCTGTATTCATAAACCTAACGACAAAGATATGCAAATAAGAGGATTTCATCCTAACTACATATTTGCTGAAAACATTTTTGCAAGGTTAAAGCAAAAGTTGACAGAGAATTAGTACTATAATGATAAGAGGTTGAAGTTATTTAGTTACGTTGACATGAATGTGCACAAAAAATTTAATTCAGAACTTTATCAAGTATTTAATACTGAATTTATCATTTATGGTATCTTAAAGCAAGATAATCGTTGATTAAATCTTCTGGACAGCTAAAGTTGTTTTTTATTTCATAAAATAGAAACGTATCACTTCAAATAATAAGTAACAATTCAACGTTTGAATCATAATCACAGTTTACTACTATGGTTTCTAACAAAATAAGCCAGCTAATGTAACCGCAACTGAATTCATGACCATCAAATATCTCAGAAATTTTCAACGGCGATAAATATTATTTAGTTGACAGTACGCGGTATACTGAAAATGAGTATTTTTCAATCGTTTACATTGTGCACAAGTACTCAATCTGAATACAGGACAAAAGAAAAAAAGTGTTATGAAAAATTAAGCGAAAAGATATCGATCAAACTAGAATGTTTATAAATTGATCCAGTGATGATATATGTACATAATACTGCAAAAATGTTTACTCGTATAATTAGCAAAGCACACTGTTTTTCTCATATCAGATTAGTTCTTTTCATTTCTAAAATGAAGACGATTAATGTATATAAGGCAAATAATTCAGAGAATAAAAACTATGAAATTTCTGCATAATGTTAATTTAGTAGTCAGACTTATAAATAACAGAGAAGATTCATCTTCTAAGATCGACCTTGCACCGAGTAAATGAACTTATTTAGTTATGGTGTGAAGGACGACAACAGAAAGGTGGAATTTCCTAGACTTCATCCATTTATTCATACAACTCATAATTTTAAGCGGTCTAAAAATTATTTCCATCATTACATAACATTGGTTACAGAAATGATTGGTGAAAACTAGATTTGTCTTCACGTAATAACAATAATGATGATAGTTGAGATCATGAGTCAACTGAAGCTAGACCATCATGGAAAACCTGGAAGCACTGGACGGCCGTTTGGTCCAGTGTGGGACTCCTCAGTTGTGTGTATCCACGATCCCGCATCGTGCGATTCGAACCCAGAACCTACCAGTCTCGCGCGCAAGCGCTTAACAACTAGGCCACTGAGTCGGCATCCAACGGTGTTAATATCTAACTTCAACCAATCCACGAAATTGAGCGACACATCCATCATTGTCTTCAGTGGGCTAATATTTCACAACAGACCTAGTTGAACTCCACTGGTACCTGTCTCTCACTAGAACTCCAGGAAATACCTCTTGAAGTCAGTCACTAGTGAGCATATGGCGGGATCGTGGATGCACACTTCTAAGTAGTTCCACAATAAGTCGAAACAGCCTTTCAGTGCCTCCAGGTTTCTGATAATAATGATGATAATAAAAATCAAAATTTAAGGGTTCAAGTCACACTAAAATAATCACAACTTAAGATAATTATTAATGTTTAGATTAGAATATTCATACTGATATGTTAACTAAATAACATCTCTTTTCACTTCTGTTAATTGTAAGGCAAAATCATTTCCTGAATTCATAAGTATAATATCATATCTAATAAATTTACAAAAGGAATTGTTGAGTTCAGTTTCAGAATTTGTTGTGTAATCACTTAAGTTTAGTTAACAACAATTTTCTGATAGATACTAATAAAATACATATAAATAAATATACATACATTAATTCACAATAGTAAGTAATACCAATACCATTTTGTAAGAATAGAATATGAATTACAATAAGAAATAACAATAATTATAATAATCACTAGGGGAAACCTGTTTCAATTAAAACCTAATTAAAGTGTACAAGTAATTGTGATCTCTATTTCTCTTTTTATTATTTATCAATCAAGTGTAATTGTTAATTCATTATGTGAGTTTGATTAAGAATGTCAAAAAATGATGCCATTTAAAACTGGTGAACTCGAAAAGAAAAAAAAATTAAAACCTATGCAAATTAAACTGGAAAAAAAAGGATTATTCTTTATAAATTATTATTCGGTAAAGAAATAATTTGGAACATTGAGAGTATCTTTAAAGAATGTACTTTAGATCTTCCATTATATATTAACTGTTAGAAAATTTAATCCTATTTCAATTTATTACGCTAATAGATCATATAGTTCTGATAAACTTCCTTTTCTCACTGCTTATGTAAACGTATTTCAGTTATTGAAGTTACAAATATTTGTGTTATTCAATTAGTGGACAGTAATAAAATGAAATTGAAACACAACTATTAAACTGACTGACTTAACACTTCGATGAGTTCCGCTTGGCATAAGTTGGTTGTAGGCGATCGGTAGGTAACTATCTCAAGACACTGACTACTATAGAAATCTGTCTTGCAGAAAGCCAGAATACCTCACTAATAATAGTTCTAAACTAACACCTGATGAGACGGATTTAGATCTCAAGAATGGTATCAGTTCTCCCTTATATAAAATTCATTTCTCACTGTCTGGAAGACCACTTACTGCATTATTATATTAAGTTAATTTAAAACATACATAATCTATAAATCAGTCAGTCGAATACAGTGGTCTTGGGTGCTGTTAGAAGTATGAGCGCGGTTATCATTTCCCGGTTGCCCACGCAGTGGAAGGGTTCTTCTGGAGGTACCTGAAAAGAAAATTGGATTAGAGGTGGTCTTAGTGACCTGAGAACGTGACCGCAGTGCTACTTGAGGTCGGTCACACACGACCATTTTGTGAGTAATTTTCACGTCAGCTCCGTACTTGTTGAGACCTTACCGCCGGAGACTGATATCCGTGGGACAAAGCGAGATGTGCATTTTTAGGTTCGACCTTTTCTAACCCCACTCCTTCTTGTGGGAAGGCATCATTGCTGCTATGCTGGTTGTCTGAAGGAAACACCTTAGTGCCGTCACACCTCTGTATAGTCAGCAGTACGAATTAACCCTCAGACCTTGGGTTTGTTGCTTTTAGTCTTACCGCTCTTCAGCAAACCTGTCTGGCATGGAATGACCTTGAGGAACGACTGTTCCAGCCTGCATAGCTTTATTGATTCATCAAGATAGGCAAGTTCGATCACCACGTCAAGGTAGCAACAACGGTCGGGAGTCTATAAATACCATTTGTTTTTTCTCGCCACAGTAGACTCATAAATAATGCTCCAGAATGCTCTATATACAATAATAAATTTGCTGATACACACAACATTTTTGAAGATTTTGCTTATTTTAACTGGTTTCTTACTTTTTTCGGATGGTTAAGAAATAAGAACCATAGAACACAAATGTATCTATTGTATTGGAATCCTTATATCCTTTTTATTATTATATCTTTTTTACATATAGAATAAAGTAACATTAGTAATTATCAAATTAAACTTTGGTAATGATACTTGAAATACATACAAGTTTATTAAAATTCCCATCATCACTGTGACTAGCACATCTTCAATTTTATTTGTTTTTTATTCTTCCAGACTTCATCGACAATTGATTTATTAAAATGTATTGGCCCTGTTGAATTTATCAATAATGGTGCTGGAATTAAAAATCCATTGGCATGTAGCACGAAATTTGAAAGGGAATGGCTAAATCGTCTTTATGGTAAGTGGCTGATTGTTGATTGCCGGTTTGCTTTGATACCTGAGGTACCTATTCTTCCTATTATTCAAAAATTTCAGCAAGTCTTTTGTGTTTTTTTAATTCATAAACCATGTTCATTAACTGCATGACCTATTCAGGCATGTATATTAAGAGTTTAAGATCTATCGCTGTACAAGGTAATATCCAATGCAGAGATATTACAGTGGCTGACAATATTCATTAAAGAGAATGAACGTTAATCATATGTTTATTCCTGATCTGCTAACTTCCAACCCCCGATCACAACTTGTCGAAGTAGACTATCTTCGATTCCTACTAAGTCTAAACGTATATCGTAGTTGTAGTGTAATCACAATTCAATAATCCTAGTTAAATGACTTACACGACAATTGTTTAGTATCACTATATAGTTGGAATATTTATATTCAGGATCTATCAAGCAATCAGAAAAAGTGTGGCGAAGGTGTAGCTACATTTGTAAATGTGAACTAGTATCAATCTAAGTTTATCTGTTTTAAGTTATCAAATTATTTTATCTACTGTGTAACCTAAAAATGCCGTCCATTTACTTGAACATGTACAACTATGCTCATGTTGCTAACATTTATGTGACTATGGACTGCACATCATCTTAACTATCCGTTCTCATTGATGACTTCACTGAACTTGCTGTTACTGCCTTCATTGTTGTATCCTCAGTTGCACGTAGTGATTGCAACTTTCTTCCATCTCTAGGTTACCAAAATCTAATCGATTTCGCCACTTGATTTTCATTAGCGATATAGGAATAAACGTAAATTTTAAAAGGGGCTCCATTACATGATTCTGATCATTGTATTATTTATGTCCTGCTTAAAGTATATGGCAGACTTGAAGAGAGTCCACTATTACATCAGACGAAGAAAGTTAAATATAAAAACTACGCAAAGAAAAATATCAAAGAACTGGAAAACATGTTTTAGACGACAAACTGGGACTTACTTAAAAATGACTCATCAGAAAACACCACTGATATTATTACTCTTTACCTTTGGTTCTGTTTTATTGTTCATTATCCCAGTGAAACAATTTTTGTAAGATTTGACCGACTTACATACTCGAAAATAAAAAGATGTAGGAGGGAAAGTGAAAAACCACATTAAATTTCGAAGGCTAAATGGTTTAATAAACGAAGAAATCAAGGTCTGAGTTCCGTGCAGTTTCAAAAACTCATTCTGCAAAACTCTTTAAATATATGGTGAGTATTTAAACAGATTACAGATGGGAAATGGATTAGTGACGATATCCAGCTGATTGTTTGTAATTTAAATGAGTCTTTTATACTCTAATCCAGGCAAATGATTTTAATGGAATTCAAGCATCATCACAAACTCATGATGACATTTATTGTGTACCTATTGTGACTAGCTTTGATATGAAACTTCCAGAGTTCTAGGGAGAATCCGTGACTAGAGGAGTTCAATTACTTCGAGTGTGAGGAAGGTGTTGACCGAAGACAATGAAAGATGGACCCGAAATATCGCAGATCGATTAAAGTTAGACCTGTACGCGATTGAATGCCAGCTCGATGGTCTATAAGCTAGATGTTCCCGCACGAGAATGAGGGTCCTGGGTTCGATTTCTGGCTGTGGACTGGTGGGTATCCACTAGTGACGGGCATTGTACTGGGACGAAACAACCGACCACCGCTTCCAAGCTCTCAGTGGTTGCCTAACGCAACTCAGATTGTGACTTCAATCATTGTTACTACTATTATATTTTTAAGACTCCTTATGTTGGTAGTTTGATTTACAGAGCTTCAAGACAGTTATCCATCCTTCTAAAAAACTTGTTTGTAAGATGTATTTAAATTTTCCACTACTCATTTCTTTTACACTTATTACTGAGTTTTGTTACGACGTTTTTTTGACTTTTACACTTTGATAATAATTTACGGTACATATAGAAACCAAATAGTCTACATTTCTGACTTTAGCCCTAACTCATTAATTTAATCACTATATGTTGGCAGCAAAATATATCACTCTTATACTCATTCACGTATTAAGGCAACTGATGCTTATTATAATGAGCCTCAGACTAAAAGTGAACATTTTTCTTCTTATTTTATGATTCTTTAGAGGGCGATACTTTGTGAGAAAGGTTACTTTCAAACTATTCTATTTGTTGACTGACCTCATTTACGTTTCAGAATTAGTATACAAGTATATTGTAGAAAATTAGATGTTTTCAAAAATGCGATGAAACAAACTTTGAACACAAATCTTGTCAAGCAAAGTTAATAGCTTAATAATAACATCTAAAATCATAGACTCTGATAAAAGAAGTCAGTTAAGAAACCAAGCTTTGGCATAAGTCAATAATATCATTTTGCTAAAGCAAAATACAAATGAAGATTTTTTCGCCAGGCTATTACACCTCTTGAAGTTAAGTGTTTTCAAAATGTGAAAGGAAATCATTTAACGTTACCGATTCACTTGAATTATCATTCAAAGATCTAATTATCTTTACAATGTTGTCTTATTAATCTCTGATCATTTTAGGAGAGGAAACAAATAATCAGCAAATCGATGCTAAAATAAATAAATAAATGCATTTTTTCGGTATTTCCATAGTTATCAGATATTCTATTCACCTGTACAACCGCATTAGCTTCATAGTCCCAGTTAAAATCTGGATATAGAAGCTGAAGTGTTAGCAAACATTGATTACTTTGCTGAATGATTTAGTGTTCTATAATTATCTACCATAGGGCCAAAAGTGTTGATTTATAGTTATCTCTACACTTTATTGAATGTATTTGGAAACAACAATAAGTGTTTAGAAGGAAATATGGATCATTTTCTAATTTAGATCGATCACAATGTTTCATATTACTAAGTGACTGAATACATAAATGTAGACATTTGAGCTTCGAAGCAGTAAATAGCTAGCACCATCCTGCCTTTGCATCTTAAGGATCCTACGTTCAGCCTCGTGTACAGTAATAGCTTTACATCATTGATTGTTCTGCAATAAAAATCGTGTTTGTTGGTTCTCTAGTTTTAGATTCAAAATAACTATGACCTATATCGATACCGGTAAAAAGTCGTTTCTTGCTAAATAATATCATTGATTCATAAAAAAACTTTTGGTTTTTGTAGTGATTAGAAAAAATCTAATCCTTTTATTATTGGTTTACTAATACGAGATCATTGTTAATTATTTATACTGTTGAATATACAAAATACTTTTAGCGAATATTCTAATTAATTCAAATCCTTTTGTTTTAAAAGAAACGTTGGAAGAAAACAAAGTTTCCATTATTTTCAAGTGATTCACCGATACTTTTGTGTAATAAAGAGTTTACTGAACATGATATAATCCTTTTCTCGAGGATAAGATATACTGATCTTAGTTTCGAAACTCAAACCTAAATCAAATGTGATTATACACTAAGTCAGAAGGGGTTTGTGGAGATTTTAGAAATTTCATAGATTGAAATCATGAGTCAGTTGAAGCTAGACCATCATTGAAAACTTGGAAACATTGGACGGCCGCTTCGTCCTAGTATGGGAAATCTCAGCAGTGAGCATCCACGATCCCGCACCCCGCGGGGTTCGAACCCAGGACCTACTGGTTTCGGACGCGAGCACTTAGCCATTAGACCACTGAGCCGGTATCCAACGGTGTTAATGTCTAACTTCAACCAATCCGCGAAGTTGCGCCACCATATACCATTGTCTTCAGTGAGCTGATATCTCACAACAGACCTGGTTGAACTCCACTGGTAACGGCTTCTCACTAGAACTCCAGGAGTATCTCTCGAAGTCAGTAACTAGTGAGCAGATGATTATTGTACGCTAAGTGTTTCTGTTTTAATTTATCAATTTACTCTGATGATTATCAAAAATCTGAATTGTGTCATTAGCTGGTTTGATGTTTCACAAGACATTAAAATGCTATATGTGTTTCAACTGAAAAAGGTATAAGCTTCCATCCATTGGCAATGAATTCTACATAGTGAAGAGCTATAGATGAGAGAATGTCATTTAGCGAATACAATGAAAGGAGGTTCTATTTTGAAATAACGACAATTTTTCAGACAATTTCTGGTTAGGTGGTAACAATGAATCATAGGCCTGACAAAATCGACTTTGCTGCTAGCCAGATACGTCTCATAAATATTTAAATTGTTAAATTTTGATCTGTGAATTTTGTTCAGATCTTCATGGGAATTTTTTGAAAGTTTCCTAATTCCTTCTTAAAAATATTCGTTTTGAATATTTCCCGATATTTTGAAGTATTTTTCTTAAAATAGTTAAAATTTAAGTATTTTTGACAGTTATGTTTCTTACTAATCAACATTAAACTGTATATTCATAAAGCACACATCATGACAAATCATTGATTAAAGTGTCAAACAGCTAATTTGATCCAGCTCATATTATTTTAGATATGTTACAGAACAGTATTTATACAAAAAAGGGTTATCCTTTACCCATTTACCAGTAAGCCAAGAAATAACATAAATATCCTGGGATTTATATTCAGTGTTCATTTGAACAAAAATGTAAAAAATAACATTCAGATAGGTGATAAATGATTAGCAGAAACAATCAATATAAGTGTTCTGGAATCTTATACAATTGTCAAATTTATTTTGTATATTCAACTTTATAAAATTTACGGTGCTAGAAAGCTTTAAATTAAAAAAAATAAATGGTTAATAAAGTTCACTTTGAATAGTTATCTTCTTGTATATCAGTTCATATTATTGGCTTATTCGTATTGACTTTGTGTTAGCTCTGTTTTAAAATAATTCGCCTCCTAATAAATTTGATGTATTCCCATAATATCCACTTTCAAAAACCTATTCTGATGAATTACTTGGTGTATTATTAGTCAAACTTTCATTTGTTTTCACCATAGACAAATTAATTAATTAAAATTATTTTCTGTTTACAATAAATAGACTGATAAGTTCTGGATTCGAATCCCACGGGGGCGGGATCGTGGATGAGCACTACTGAGAAGTCCCATAATAGGACGAAACAGCTATCCAGTGCTTCCAGGTTTTCCATGATGGTCTAGCTTCAACTGACTCATGATCTCAACCATTAAATAAATAAAAACTCAATTTATTTTTTATATAAGTACATTTACTAAAAGAATATATTTACATGATGGAATAGAATAGTTTTTATTGACTAACTCACATAACAAAAATAATGTTACGTGTTTAATAATAGTATTTATTAATTGGGGTCAACTAGAAAAACTGGAGATTCATTTTATGGTTAACAAAGCTAATGAAAGTGGGTTGGGTTTTAAATTTCATGATAGATTTACATTCACAGTTTCAATTCTGTTCAGGAGAAAGTTAATATGCTAATACTATTGGTAACATGTTGACATAAAATAATTAATTCAATTTCTATTAACGTTAAATTACATCTAATAAAATGTCTACTGGAACGGTATGCTCTGTATTTTATATCAGCTACAAAGATTATCATTAATATGATTATCGTTTGGGCCATAACTGATCTGTAGGTAGGTTTTGAACAGACAATTATTAATACTAATTGTTACCTTTCCAAATCTTTAATTAGAGCAGCAAAAGTTCAGATAAACAGCCACAAGTACTTTTGATTATTCTGATTCATAATTCACGTGATCATACACTCAAGGTAAAAGACAGCAATAATAACAGAGTTTATATATTTCAAAAGGAACGTAAATTAGATATATTATGATGAACCAAATATTATTTTTGACAAAAAGTGAATATAATAATCATTAATAATTCAAGAAGGCATGGAGTTAGGATAAAAATGGTAATATCAAATACTAACTATCTGACAAATACTCATTCAAGTTAAACAAACTAAATTCACCATGAAATCCTTACCGAAGTTACATAATTTCCTATGTTTACCTCCTCTAAACTAAACTACTATAAAAACGGACACATTTTTACACTTAGTATAGCTTTTCAAGATAAGAAGTAGTTTTGACGTGTATAATGATAAATTACTGCATAAAAATTGAGTATTTTCTCATTCACTATGTTGTTGGTTCATTGTAATTAAGAAACTAATTTGTCGTATAGCATTTCAAAAATATGTCGCTAAGATAAAGTTTTGAAGTAAGAATCTGATTTGGAGATTGCTTTTGGCAGTATCTCTGTGATTGATCTGATCAAGTTGGGCAATTACTTTCATCCAAAGTTCATTGAAGTGTAATTTAAAAAGCTTAATATTTCAACAATTTTAAGATCATTGATAGTAGCTGGTTTTTAAAAGTTTGTTGACTACCTAATAGTTAAGTACATACCAGTGAAAATATAATTGTCTCCTACATAATGATAAATTAATAATGTAAATGTAGTTCATTTAACGGTGTACAAGTATTTCTGAAGACATAATTAGTGACAAAATAACTTTGATCCTATATTATAATCTAATTATGTCTAGTACTGTTTCGATCGACCGAGCATTTTCATATCAAACCAACAATGACTAACGTTATATGCTTTCTAAGGTGTAAAAGAAATAATTCAAAACAAGTTTATTCTCTTTTGGTCTCATATATCAATATAGTGGGATATTAACAGCAAGCATTAAGTATTCTTTAATTTAAAAAAAATGCATGTTCCATGAGAGGGAAAATTTGTAATAAATGCTCCAATTTCTAAGGGTAGACATTAGTAGACACGAATGTCCCATTGACGTCAGTTTGGATTCATGCCAACACATTAGTGTTGGATGTAAAGTATTTATCTGTATTACCGTTGTCTATTTTAAGTCGTATTTTTAGAATCATAAGTTAAGCTCGAATAACGAGGGTTTGTAAAATGATGGTCTACAACTGTTAAAAATTATGTTTTTCAAGTAATCGACAATAGGGTATAATGATTAACTATAAAGTCAAAACTATCATATTTATGCTCTTATTTGTAGAACGAACGTTATTATAGTTACCTTCTTTAAGTAAATCAATACTTCTTTTCTTTCGTTTTTATTTTTCCTTGTTTTCCTTAGCTTCTCAAGTAGGTCCAAATGAATATGTTTGCAAAGCATGTGGTAAACGTTTCCAATTATTGCGTCTTTTAACACGACATATTAAATGTCATAGTCAGTTACATAGGTATTTATGCAAGTTTTGTTTCAAAGGATTCAATGATACATTTGACTTGAAACGTCATACCAGAACACATACAGGTATGTTTAATAATTTAAAATTTAAAATAATTTGTTCTATATATATAAAGTTTTTCACTTACCAACACAGGTAAAGACCAGTGACCATCTATGTCAAAATATGAAGGAGTGTATAGTGATGATATGTATTTTTCTTACATATCAAGAAACCGTCTGATAAGTGATTCAGTGACTAGGTCTAGAAAAAAAATCATAAGTACAAGTAAAAGTATAATGTGTTCTACATATGATCGAAGATAGTTACTTATGGACTTCAATGGACATCTAAGAATCCGATTGTTATTAAATCGTTAGAAAATTTGGGGAAAAAATAATATCGCAACTTTGAGTTTAAGCTATAATATCGAAACAGTTCTTTCGATCATCATACCTATACCTAACTCTCGTTTCTGAATGGTTTGAATTTAATTTTGTTCATATATGTGCATAAAACAGCTTAACACAAGTAAGACAATTCAGCATGATTATTTTCAATTATTCCTGGTTTATGAAGAAAAATATTAAAAAGCTTATATGGGATAAGCAATTCAAATATCACCTAGGTAGGTTGAGATGGAATTGTCTAGTAGAATGGCTTTCATAATCTGGAATCATAATTCATATTCTAGGTTGTGACAGGACTCATACTGTTGATCGCAAAATTGTGTTGATTTATCATACTTTTATCTTTAGACGAAATGTCTCAATAGTACAATATGTTGGATGCCTTTTTTCTTGTATTTCCATTCAGAGTCAAGTTTACGTCGTACTTGATGATCCTATGTTATTATTCAATGGAGCGCTTATACAAACATTTGGAGCATTCAGGAGGTAATTTTGATTTGGGACTGATGCCAACTATAGAAGCAATAAAAAACCATGGAGCCACCATACAACAACTGCATTCCATTATGAGATCTCACACCAATGCAAACCCACTAAGCGAAAACCACCCTCTAAATAGACTTAGATTTCCACGACACCACCTAGATTAATAATGACCATGTGACAACTGGTGACTAGTTTCAAGGTGAATTTTCAGAACTTTTAGTTTGAATCCGTGATATTTGAAGTCATCGAATTCAGAATTGAGAAGAATACAATCTGATGTAACTCGTAATAAACGTGCTTCATGTTGAAGTGGTTAGACGTGTAAACAGTAGATCATTAGATTACAGCTGAATTGTACCCTGCTTGGTGGGCGACTCAAACATTCTAGACACGATTATGAGTGGGTTTGTGAGTATCCATTCGTAAGCAGTTTCACATTACGAAAAAACAGCTGTCCAATCCTCTTTGGTTTTCGATGATTTCTTAGTTGGAGTTATTTCCTGATGAAAACTACTCTCAAAACCATAGTTTATACACCAATGAAAACATATACTTTGTGTACTTTTTTCAAATTATCTTAGACACTATATACCTAACAACTCAATTTATCGCCCAAAGTAAATCAACTTACTTAGTCAACGGAAAAAAACCCTACAAATCTAAATATTATTTTTGTGTGTAACGTAGACCTTTTACCATGGTCAATAATGCTTGATAATGATAAGTGTATGTGAGTATACATTTAAATCACCACTCTCTTTTTTCGATGATTTAAATGGATAAAATTATTTTTAGCAGTCTGACACACACATTCACATCCATTTTACGTGTAAGAAGGAACTGTAGATTTGTTTTTCTTAGCATAGATCTTACTATTGGTCAACACATTTTGTATTTTTGTTTGTTTGAGTAAATACGAACAAACAGTATGCGCAATTTGTGTTACGTTAGTGAAACTCTGTTTAAAAGTACACGACCTTGAAGTTAGCCAAATTTAAATGAAATGTTATGCTGTCCTATCAAATATAATTTGGCCATTAATTTACCTTCGTAAAAACTATACTATCTCATGTTGATAGTTTTTCATGATTACTCACAATCAACTAAGTAGATTTTTTCGGCATATTTGTAAACTATGACAGATGGTCAATGGATTTGGACTAAATCATTCACTCATGTCAAATGGTTCATTCTGAACAGAAGTACAATGATTATATTTATTACAGATTTACTACTATGCAAGGCTAAAATAGTATCATAGTCATAGCATCACGTGCAAATTATCTTAATCAAGATTATATAAAATGTATATTTGCTAGTTCATCTATCCAAAAACATACACCTCTCCAGTTTATACATTTGAAATATTTGAAGTTACACTTTACCTAGTTTGCTAAATATTTTTCCAAAAATTAAGATGGAATAATTTAGGCATATGTGTTTTAAAAAAACCCAGAAAAAGTATAATGAATCCTATGAATAAGTTTTCCCTATTAATTTAAAGTCATTAAATTTTCATTTGGACAGTTGTAAAGATTCAATTGATTTGAAGATAGTTTTCAATAGGAACAAGAATGATTTACAAAGCTTTTGGAAATCAGGGAACATTGAACATAGGACACACAGTTCTTGTAATGAAAATATGTCTGATCAGACTGTAAATAATAAAACAATAATTTAGAATTACAAACTTCGTTTAAATCATAATGAATCTAAATTAATACCACTGGTGATAAATTACTGATGATTCATAATAATGAAAATGGTCTGTTATCGTATTCTTAAGCATCTGAGAAAATAAGAACATTAGTTTTAATAAGTCAGATATATAAGATTGAGGAATAGCTAATTCTGAAATAATGGAAAGAATTTGCAGATTACATAAATACTTATGTTAGTTTTACATTCTTTGAAGCAAGTAGTTTAGTTGAAAAGCTTTTGATTATCTTTATAGACGACTTCACTACCATTTTACAGCATATGTTAAGTAGTACTAATCTAGTACCCTAGTTATAAAACTAATGGTGCACATGAGCGCCTGGATCCTACAGGAACAAGTAGGGAATAAATATATTTCGATCACTGGCTACCATGGGACTGCATCCCCTGATGTTAATTCATTACCGTGTGAATTGGACCCTTTGATTTCGAGTTCCGAGAGCGGTTCCCTAAGAAAATTATCTCTTTCGATTTGGGTGTCCGGGAATTAACCTAGCCTACACAGAAACATAATGATAATTTCTAGTGAAAAGAAATTGTCCTCATTCCACTTAGTTATTCACACAGTCGATGTCCACATTTATTTTGTTACATTCGTTTTTACTTAATGCTGCGTCACTTACCTATTCCTCTTTATTCCTATTTCGGTTTTATTTTTCAACTCAGTAGCTCATTTATAGTAAAAGTCCCGCTTTGTCTAAGACGATCTCAGGACCCTAGCACCAGCTCCCGAGGCAGTCATCACTGATCTTCCACCTGACATCTATCCTCTACAACACCGCGACCAGCTACCACTACCGTTGTTCTATTTAAGAAATCCACTTCTTTCTGAATACCTTTCTGAACTCTGACCATGGTTTGGTTACACCTAAGCTTATTTCAGGTGTTCGTACTCGAGAAAAGTCTCGTCATAAACCGAGTGGTATGAGAACATTAGTTGTAGTTTCATTTACAACCGAATGTAAAACCAAGTTGGGCTCAACGCTAGCAGTCAGTCCACTGGAATGAGGAGGTGAACGTTGGTTGAGTAAGATAGACTTCATGAATTAGCGTGGAGTTTCGTGAGACTTTCCGCTTATAAAAACTGAATTTCTCCAGGCTCCTTATGAATCCTTGTGAAATGTTAATCTACTCCTGCTAATCGTGAGTTTGATAATAAACGTAGATTCTCACATGAAGGAAATTTCGCAGAGTTTGAGTAAGTACTGATAAACCTGGTGGTTGAAGTGAGCTATCGAGTCGAGAACATAAGCTTCGTCTGGCAATTTCCAGAGGCTATTTCACCTCATCCGATTCACTGGCGGCAAGAGGCCTGGTGTGAGTGAAACAAATCTGTGAAGCTGATAGAAATCCAATTAGTGGCATTCAGAGTGTCCTGGATGATGAACAGAGCTTTTTGAGGAACAGTTCAGCTTGTCAGTTACCCCTGTAAATTAGATCAGACTGTGGTTACTTTATTGTCTAGTGTCGGTTGAATCTAAAGAAACTTCAATTTTTGAAGTTCCCAAAAACTACCAGTGATAAGGACTTAACCTTAGGTCTTTCTGAGGATAGGGCGAACTTCTGGTCAAGGAACCAGGTGTGTCGTTTGGAAGCAGAGTTCGTCTCAATAGCTTGAAATGAGCCAGTCATCGTTGCCATCTTTAGAAAGGGTCTTCGTAATCGATGCGGCAATTATTGGCGGATCAATCTACTTCCGATTTCATCCAAACTAGTACCCTTCGTCGTACTTCGTAGATTGCTCTAAATACATGAAAAACTGACTGTTAAGGAAAAGGTCTATTTTCAGGCATACCATCACTTTCCCCGCTAAAACCTATAGCACTCCCATACTTATTGTAGACTAAACATTGTTGTGTTTCTTGATATCAGGGTCGCATTCAATCCGTCGGACAGAAGTGTATACTGGGATTTTTTGTTGAGAAAGAGTGTATATGCGAAGTTTATTAACATCGTAAAGGCTCTTTATCGAGACATCTCAGCCACCATGAAGGAAAATACCCATTTCTCTTGGTTTTTAGATTCCAAAAATAAAGCTAGGTACGGTAGCTCAGTCTCATCATTCCTTTTCAACTTTTCCATCGATGACATTCTGGAAACAGCTCTGATAAAAGTGCGGTAATGTAAATCTGTTTGACGAAGAAAAACTTCTCGATCTTCAGTATATGAATGATATTGTTTTACTGTACGATAATAAGCAAGTTGTGCGAGTCACACCTTATCAGAAGGATATAATTAAACATTTTAAATATAAAGTACTTCTACAAGACCGGCAAAACCTTTTCCCAACACCCACCCTTTATAGTAAGCCATTAAAATTGATTGAAAAGTTCTTGTATTCAGGGGACTGCGTGAGTGCTGATGGTGGTACAACTGATGTGATCAGTCTGTGCATGGTGAGATCTAGAGCCGCCTATACTTATCCGCTCCATCTTTGAGGCCTTTATGACGTTAGTCTGGCTTTAAAAAGCCTGATTAGCAACGCGTCAGGATGAGCTGTTTCGTCCTATGCCTGAGAAACCTGGCCTCTCCGAGTGTGTGTTTGATATTCGTTGTCTCCAAAGGATTGTTGATATTCAATGGTAACACCATGTTAGTAGTTCAAAGGTTCAAGAATGTATATTCGGGCACAGTGACAATGATTCATTGGTGTCACTGTCTTGAAACATTGACTGCTGTGGTTTGGACATGTACTATCAACATCACCCCAGTGAATTTCACGTAATACATTATTCGTCGACGATGGGACAGGATGGAACAAACGGCGAGGTTGTCAATTTATGAGATTGTGCAATGGCATGAAAGAAAGCTTTGTAAGACTGGAATCTGTCAAGCTTTTGTGACTCTTTATTTGGGGGTCCTAGAGATGGTACAATTCAGTGACTTGATGCACTCTCAGGTATCTCAGAATAGAAATCATACAGCTATCCGGCTGTAATTTTCTTTTGTATTAGTTATAAATATGGGAGGAAATTCTTTAGCTGAAAGAATCCTGAATTGTCTCGTTTGTTTTGCCAACGGAACTATCTTTCTTATCACATATTTTTTCTGTTAATTACTTTGCAAATTAATCTAGTATTATCATTTTTATTGTTACTACCTTCTCTTGAAACGTACTCTCTTTTTCTCACAGTAGTATCCATACTTCATGTGTCTCATTCTATTTCTTAGTAACTTGTTGTACCAGATTTTGTGTGCTTAAATACATAAGTTAATGGATAAACGGAAACTATCTTCACTACACGGAATTTAATATCTACTTGTAGGCCAATTTTTCTTACCATAATACTGCCACTGATCTGATCAATTTCGACACCTAAATTGTAGCAGCTTCAATGCATAATGCAGTTAAAACTGAAATTTTATTTTCACATTCTTTCTAATAACAAAGATTACATTCGTTTAATAATATTACCATTCGTTTACAAACATGAGTCCTAGCCTTAATATTCTGTATTTAAAATTATACTGGTTAAGATTTCTGAGCGTTTTATCTAACTCACTTATAAATGTCAATGATTATTTATTCTAAACTACACAAAACAAATTCACTCTTCATAGACGTATACCACACAACTGGCCGTTAGGTGTGGTCAGTGATATATTTTGATTCATTTCATGTAGAAAACAAATGAATGATAAACAATTTGTTGATAGATAACTGGTATATGATAAAATAGATTTGAAACGTTCAGATTCATCTTTAAAATTTGATAACAAGCTTTTACTTCAAACTTTGATGTAATTACAATATTCTATCCTAGTAAAAACCCATAACTTTGACGACAATAACAGTTACACTTCGATGCTAAGTGACAATACCCCATACCACTGATTAATTTAAGCTGAAAATTAGTAGAGTTTAGTGTTACAAAAAATAAATTATTCACCAGGTTCAATGATGTTTTTCATACAGACCTCTATATAAACAATATTATAATGGTTTCCTAAAAATCTTTTTGGAGTCATAAATATTTAGCCTGAAAAATAACTGTCACATTCGAGCGATCAACTGCACTAATGTAGTAAGCTTCAGTTAAGTTTATGTAATAACCTACTTATTTACTTATGCCTATTGCCCCTAATGGAGGAGCATAGGTCGCTCACCAGCATTCTCCATCCAACTCTGTCCTGGGCAATCTTTTCCAGTTGCTATTCATCCTTTCCATGTCTGTTTCCGATACCCGACGCAGTGTGTTCTTCGGCCTTTCTCTTTTTCGTTCCCCTACAGGATTCCAATTTAGGGCTTGCCTCGTGATGCGGTTTGATGATTTCCTCAATGTTTGTTCTACGCATTTCCAGCCTGTTTCCCTAATTTCCTCCCCAGCTGGAGGCTGCTTTGTTCTCTCCCATAGTGGGCTGTTGCTGATGGTATCCGGTCAGTGGATATTCAGTATCTTACGTAGACAATTGTTTATAAATACTTGTACCCTTTTGGTGATGGTTGTGGGTACATGTAACAAAGGTGTTGGATAATATTCACGCAAATATCGTTTCGATAACTCAGTAATGTTAGGTATATATTAGAAAAGTTAATGTATTTCATAGTATAAAGTACATTTAAGATTAATATTGTATTTATGAAAAACTGTTCAAGTTCAACATAGTCTTTATAGTGTACGGAAACCAGTGATTTGTTTAAATTAGTTAGACTGAATACAACCGAAAGTTTTGGTTTAGATGTTGGGGCTCGGATAAAAAACTTTATCCAGTGCTTTTTGAGTGTGAAGAATTCCTCATCTGATATCAGTTCGTTGTATAAAATCTTCACAAGAATATTTGTAACAAACTAGAATTAATTCGTCTGTAATGAATTTCACCCCCAGAAATGTATCTATAACTTCAAATATAGTCTTTCTTATTCTACAATAGTAAGTTTGATTATTATTATTATGTAACTTTCATAGGAGGTCATTTAATTACGATATTTAGATGTCTGGAAAACTATTTACTCAATGGTACTGTCAATATGTAACACGGCGCTTTTGCAAAGGCTTTGTAGACTAGTAAACCGTTTTGTAATTTTATGGTTCATAAAAATTATTTGCTTAGAGTAGGATCGTTTATTTGTTGTTATTTTTCGTGTGGTTTTATAAAGTACTTTGATTTGACCATTGAAAGGAGCAGATTGACTTATACAGTATCCAAACATTACCTTCAGTAGTATGATTGACTTTCTCTTGTTTTCATTTATAAATCTTTTACTTTAGGTGTGCGACCTTATAGATGTTCAGATTGTTCAAAAGCATTTACCCAACGATGCTCATTAGAAGCACATGGTCGTAAAGTTCATGGTCGTCCATTACAATATGCATTCAAAGAACGTAGAGATAAGCTATATGTATGTGAAGAATGCGGTTTCAGTACAACAGATGCTGAAAATCTACGTCAACATACACAAACAGTACATGTAACTATAAAATCATCAATTGGTGATATGTTAACAACCAATACATCTTCAAGCCTACTTCAATTATTTCCAAATTAATTATTAAATAAAAATAAATACTTAATTTCATCAATTGAATAAATTAACGCACACAAAAAGAGAGTTATATATTTTTAAATAAGTTCAAAATCAATTACGTTATACATACAAATACAATGAAGTTTTCTGAATAGTCACCAAAATAATTCAATGCAAACATCCCTTTACTTGTTATCAATGATGTGACCTAGAGATTACATGAATCTAGTGAATAACTTAAATAAACTTAATTACAGACAGAAAAGTGTAATAGATATACAAAAAATCATATTATCTAAGACGGATAGTTTACATAATCTTTTCCTCGAATCATTTACTACATTTATAAAGAAGTAATAATAATGAAAATATGTTCATTTCCATATTTTATCGTATTCTTTTGTTTAAATTTTTCGTTTTTCTCATTACTAATGAACAGGTATTTTTCATTTTCTTTTTTGTATACTTCATTTGATGAAACTATTCACGATACACTCAAACGGTTAATTACTATTATTTATATTATTTCTGTTTTTAATGATCCAAAGGGATTAAACCAAGCTGAAATGTTTTTCATTCCAAAAAACCAGATAAATAAGTAAATAAACACCTTTATGGATTTCTTATATCCTCTTTTTATTTTGTTATTTAATTGTTAAAATTGATTATGGTATATCTTACCTTCTAACATCTATGTTATATTCAACACAAGTGTTGAATAAGTTTTCATTCATTGATTAGAGAAATTTATGAAGCTTATAGTGTAGCGTTTAGTGACAATTATGATATTATGGAGATACTAACCACAGTTAGAATTCAATAATGTTATGCTTAACTAATTCTTCAATGTTAATATGAGTCAGTTACATTATTCACATTACCGAATACTACAACTGAGAGTAAAAAACGATTTCTAAACAACGATCTGATCAGTAAAAATTCATAATCATTGATAACTTTTTGTTTCTTCGTACTGTTCTAATCCTCAAACGTCCATCGTTTAAATTATCTTAGCATACTGTTCCCTCAGTATAAACATTTTAGTAAAATGACCGGAAATCATTAGTCCTCTTGTAAATATTGTTTTGATACTGGAATTTATAAGAAAAAGTAGGGGCGAATTTCTGAACTTCTGAAGTTAACGTTCTCAAGGTAAATAGTGTGATATCATTAAGTCGTATTATTAAAAACTGTATATGTTGATAGCAAAAGGTGCGGATACCGGTTAATTGAGGCAGACAATTACAATTTATACTATTAAAGTACTCTCTGTTCTTTTATAAACAATTGTTTGAAGAGATAACTTCATAAATATATTTTACGTTAGAGAGTTAATTTGTACAAAGACGAAAATCTGAGGAGTATGGTGCTATTTTCAAAAGTGTCATTAAATATTTGGAGCAAAAGTCTATTGAAGTCTACGTTGTGATGTAGGTACCCCATTTTGGTCGCTAACAGGAACTTGTAACATATAACAGTGAATTTTCAGTCCAAGTCTTTCAAACATCATCAACACATTGTTTTATATGTTTGTTAACCTCACTGTGTTTTACGTATGCTTGACAAAAACTTGCAGTTAAATAAGATCTATTGAGAAGAGTATCATATTTTATTGTTATAAACTGAACTGTATTAGTGCATCACAGTTTGAGGATGTTGTGTTACAATGTTTATAGACATGAAGTAGAAATTATATAAAGGAAGAAACAAGCTACCACTTCAAATGCATACTCTTAATGTAATTTCATAATACATTTTAGCTGTATTTAGTCTAATTGCAATAAGATAAAGAAAAAAAGTAACAATGATTAATACAAATTAAAATGATTAGAAATCACATTTACAAGGTCTCTAGACGATTCTATACATTAATTATCTTTACTGACAGTTACAAAATTATTTGTTACAATTTATATTGTAAGGTTATGGCTAAAATTGAATAAGCACAATATTTAAAAACAACATGCTTGACAATTTATCATTTTAAATTACGATCATTTTTAAACGTGAGTGAACTTGTCAGATAATTTCTCTCGGCAATAACGAAAGTCATATATATATATATATATATATATATATATATATATATATATAAACCAATTCGAGAGATATTAACTATATCTATATGCACCTCTCCTTATCGTGGGTTTTATGTCTATTCCTAACACATCCATGAGCAGTCTTACATTTAAAATTGCAAAATTAACTATTCATTACGCCATATAATTCTTGGATTCAAATAAATAAAATTCAACTTATATTATAAGAAAGAGAAAATTCGTCTTTCTAAAATGATAACTGTAGTTTATCTGACAATTAGGATTTTGTGGCGACATTCCGACGAAGATATCACTTTTCCCATATACTAAGGAATAAAGAAGAAACACATTGGAAAAACTAGTAATAATAACTTGGTAAATTTTAAATAAATCAGGAAAAATTCGGATTGACAGTAGTGATATAAAATGGAATAACTAATAGACCTAACATGAAGAAAACTTAGTACACTGTCAATAGCTTATTTGGGATTTGATGAGTGAATTGGATGCATGTTTACCAAATAGTGCTGAAGGTAATATGTCACTGGTGTCTTTTGCTCGTGAGTCCTGGTTTTGGAGACGTCACTGCTTAGCATAACTTGATTTTCATTCAATACTCCACTGAAAAAATAATAGAAGTAGTGGAATATTTAAAACATCTGCCCACTAGGATATAGCTGCTGCAATGTTTAACTTTCATGGTAGTGAAACATATATTGTAGTATTATTCGATAACATCTCATTCAAAACTTCGTTTGTATATTGTAAAATATGTCCAGCAAAAGACAACGTGAAGTGAATTATTCACGTAAACTGTTTCGATATTGAGGCCTACTACTTTTTCATATAGCATGAACCACCGACCAGGGATCTCCAATCAACTTTGTCCTGGGTTTTCCTTCCCAGTTATTTCCAACAGGTGTTCGTGATGTTGATGTCTGCCCCCGAATTCAAAGAGTGTCTACTGTTTTTCTCACTTCTCGTAAGCTCTTGAGATTTTCGTAATCCAGTGAAAGACCATCGAAGGGAGGATAGGTAGCCTTGTCTGATACCAGCCCTCATTTGGAATGCACCTGTGAGTTATCCTTTATGCACGCTGTCGCAGCTCAGTCCAACGTAGGAGTTCTGTATGATGGTGACGATCTTCCCATATACTTCATGTTGCCAAGGAATGTCTTATCCGTTCGGTAGAGGGGTTTCGTATAGTGAAGGAAACTGACGTGAATCGGTGAGTTCCATTCAGCTAGTTATTCAATAATGACCCGTAGTGTCTCAGTTTGGTCTGTATGCGATCTATCCTTACGTCAGACAATTTGTTGATCTTGAAGTCGGATGTCCACTGAAGCATTCTTTCGGCTTACCAACACTTTTTTGAAAACTTTACTAGTCACTGGCAGTAGCGTGTTCCCTCAGTAGTTCTCGCACTTACTAAGGTCTCCTTTCTTCGGTACGTTGGTGAAGTATCCTTCTCCAGTCTGTTAGTGCTTGTTCTCCATTCCAAATCTTTCTGGAGAGAACGTGGAGCAGGTTTGCAGTTGCCTTCACATCTGATTGAAGTGCCCCAGCTAGTATGCTGTTCAGTCCAACTATTCCTATGGCATTCCTGAATTGTCTGGTGGCTTTGAGAATTCCTTTGATTGTTGGCGGGGCTGCCTCAATGTTGGCTGTGCTCAGCGATGCCGATCAATTCAATAGGTATTCACACTACTCTACCTATCTATCTCGCTGTTGTTGATCCTCAGTGATTGGTTTGCCTTCTTTGTTCCCGACTGACTGCTCTGCTTCTCTGTATTTCCCTCCAAGCTTCTTCACCGTATCGAATAGCTTTTTCATGTTTCCTTCTCTTACGGCTTGTTTCACTGCAATTGTTAGGTCTTTATGTATATCTGCCTGTCGGTTCCGATATTCTTCACCACCCGTCTGTTTGCTTCTGTATATTCGATCTGAGAGCTACTTTCACTGCATTCATTCGGCTGTTTTTAACTGGTGTTTTCTCGACCCCCCCCCCCTGAATCTTACCCAGTGTGTTAATAGAAATTCATTGTATGCTCTGATGCTTCTTTGGACCCATCACTTCTTAGTATGTTCAAGTCGTCACTTCTTTAATCCCTTACTAGTTGTTCTCCATGGTGATTTTATATTCTAGTAGGCTTTTTAAGTTTTGTGACTTGATACGGAGAGCTATGTTGAACTGTCTGAGCTTGGGAGCATCTCGAAAAACGTCTGTAACAAACTTGTGTAGTGGTGCTTGCTCAGGTGTCCAGTGATTCTTTAGCTTCAGTTGTGACGATTCACAAATCTCATTCAGAGTGATTTTGTCATTCACTCAAGCTTTGTAATGTTTTACATTCGTAGTCAGTGATGATGAATCATAGATCTGATGAAATGATGTGTAGTATGGTTGGGAATCCTATTCTTCTTGATATCAATATCCATAGATGTGTGATGAGGTCAACCATAGGTTATGCATTAACATGAATTAGCTCTTATTTAGTGGGAGAGTCAGAGAATGTTCATCTTTTTATGTAGTTCAATGAGCTGCGACTGTGTGGACATCAAGTTATTGCACAGAGAAGATAAATTTATCCTCTAACATCTACATGATTTTAGCTATATACTCACTATACTACTTAATAATTATAAGTAGCTATAATTGTATCCAAGTTCATCATTGCAGTAGCAATTGTGACGAATGCCAACAGTTATTATGAGAACTTCTTGTAGCATTGATTTATTTTAATCATGCCTTGGGCTAGAATCTTATTTTCTCCTTCTGAGAACGCTACAATCTAGGCCTTTGTTTACCTTCAATGAATTCTCTACTCTCCAGTGTTGGGTATCCCTTGGATTCCGTTAACTACTGGTATCCATTTCTGACTGTGAGTGTGGTTTCCTAGTTTATATTTACGCTCTATAATTCCATACTTACAGACTTATCTGGAGGAATAATTTTCCTTTTGATAGAAGAATGTTCCTCGGGTCCATTATGATTCGAAACTTGCGGGTTCTTCGTACCTTTTCTGTATATGTACAGTATTGAAGGTTTCTTAGCATTCACATGCAACTCAGGGCCGTCTTTTATACTTTATTGGCTCAATCAGAATTTACTGATATTGGTATATTCTCGAGTGAGTGATCCTAAACAATGACTTGGACGAAAATTTAAACAAATTTCATATCCACAAGGTGCTTTAATTTCATGGATGATCCATAATGATTCGAAACTTGCGGGTTCTTCGTACCTTTTCTATATATGTACAGTATTGAAGGTTTCTTAGCTTACAAATGCAACTCAATTGTCAGGTTAGAATCTTTATGAATTGCTCTCCGAGCGATCTAATTGATGTAGGTTAGAATAAAGCTAATAGCTGTGTACCAACGACGACGTCAATTAAGTTTTATATAATTCATCCTTTAGTATTGTGGTCCGACGATTCATTTGTTTTTAATATTAAGTACTGGATATTTCCAACGACATTCACCAAAACACCAGATTCTGTGGGAGAACTTTTAGGAATATTGGGTTTTCAGACAGATGAAATATCCAACGTGATATATCTTTTCGTCATTCACCTAAATCTATATTACGTTAATTATTTAAGTGTCTAGGAAATAAGCTGCTTAGTTAAAATAACTTCGCATTCAAATTGATGAAAATGTCTAGGGTATACATCATCGAAATGACAAATAAATCAAGATATGACCCGGGTGTACGAAGCAAGTTCACAAAGTACTTACTTACGCCTGTTACTTCCAATGGCGCATAGGCCGCCGACCAGCAATCTCCAACCCACTCCGTCCTGGGCCTTCCTTTCCAGTCCTATCCAATTTTTGTTCCTTCTTTTTATATCTCCATTTCTAAGCTTAATGTGTTCTTAAATCGTCCTCTCCTGATTTGACCTTGAGGATTCCATGTGAGGGCTTGTCTCGTGACGCAGTTGGGCGCTTTCCTCAATGTGTGTCCCATCCACCTCCAGCGCTTCTTCCTGATCTATGCCTCCGCTGGGATCTGGTTTGTTCTCTACCACAGTACGTTGTTGCTAACAGTGTCCGGCCAACGGATCCGAAGTACTTTGCGTAGACAACTGTTAATAAACAATTGTGTCTTCTGGATGATGGCTTTCGTAGTTCTCCACGTTTCCGCCCCATACAGTAGAACTGTCTCAACATTTTTGAAAATTCTGACCTTGGTGTTGGTTGACAATTGTTTTGACTTGCAGATGTTCTTCAGTTGTAAATATACTGTTCTTGCTTTGCCGATCAGCGCCTTCAAATCTGCATCAGATCCATAGTGTTGTCCTGTCCCCGCTATCAAATGCTTCTTCGTAGTCAATGAAGTTGATGTAGAGTGATGAATTCCATTCAATTGATTGTACCACAATGATTCGTAGAGTTGCGATTTGGTCTATACACGATCTATCCTTACGGAATCCTGCAAGTTGGTCACGAAGTTGAGCGTCTGCGCAGTCCTTCATCCTGTTTAACAATATCCTGTTGAAGACCTTTCCCCGTATTGGGAGAAAAGTGATGCCCCTATAGTTATCACACTTGCTGAGATCGCCTTTCTTTGGTATCATGATCAGGTGTCCTTCTTCCAAGTCTGTTGACACTTGTTCTTCATCTCAAATCTTGCTGAAGAGAATGTAGAGTATCTTTGCAGTTGCCGCTACGTCTGCTTTTAGTGCCTCTGCTGGGATGTTGTCCGGTCCTGCTGCTTTGCCACACTTGATTTGTCTGATGGCCATGCTGATTTCTTCAATTGTTGGTGGGCCAACATCAATTGGGAGGTCCGTGGGCGCTACTTTAAGGTTGGGTGGGTTCTGTGGGGTTGGTCAATTCAAGGGTCCTTTGAAGTGCTCTACCCACCTGTTTCGCTGTTCTTCAATGTTGGCAATTACTTTGCCTTTCACTGGTCGCTCTGGTTTACGATAATTTCAAGCGAGCTTCTTTGTTGTACCATACAATTGTTTCATGTTTCCTTCTCTTGCAGCCTTTTCCGCCGTCATTGCTAGATCTTCCACATATTTACGTGTCGGTTCTGATGCTCCTCTTCTCTTGTTTGTTTACTTCTGTGTATTCAGCTTGTACCTTGACTTTTTCTGCTCTTGTTCGGCTGGTATTGATTGCTGCTTAAGTTCACAAAGTATCAGACGTTTAATTACTGTTGTGTGGGAATCACACATTTTCTATCCCAAGAATGACCACACTTTGTAGGTGTTTTAGACATCGTAATTAAATTTGACTCAATCGGAAAGAAATTAATCCCCATCTGTACATTGCTCTTAAAATTTATAGACTATGTAACTACTTGGGTGGCTTTTCTTTCGAAAGACGCCACATCAGGTAATTATATTATGTTCCCAGTATGGTAGATGTACTGCAGTATCCAGCAGTTCTTTTGAATGAGCTTTGCGCATAAAATTCCGATTTTGCATTTTAACACCGTTATTACTCGTTTCAAAACACAATGACCATTTTTAGTTAAGAAATGACTGTGAAGATTTGACAGATTGATGTCTACCTACAAGTTGATGTGCCCCTTGTTGGTAATAAACAATATGCATCGGTTCATTTCAATACGATTTCACAAATAAAGGATGTTATATTATCGTGAATTACTATTCCGAATATACTGGGACGAGATCCTGATTAGTTCCTATGGCCAGGTAAACGTAAGGTAACGTGTAGAAAACAATGACTTTCCCTCAACTTCCAATTGAGTTTACTTTTATGGAAACCAATAAAGTTCGGAATCGAACTATGACAATGACAGTAAGTAAACTAATGAAATAATCTTACATGTCCACTTTTTTAAGTTATTCAAGTTAGCTAAAATAAAGCAGTTATCTCCCCCATATTATCTTGATTGTAATAATAACGAACTACGAAATCCATGACCAGTTTCAAACCATACTATATGAATGCACGCAATACCGCATGGTTATCTAGACCAGAGTAAATAAGACGAGGTAGTTCAGGCATTGTTCTTGAAGTATTTTGACTAATGATCGTTTTACACTCCATGAGGTATCGAAATATCAATATAGAGAAGCTAATACAATTGAAGAGAAACAGAATTTACACACCCTAATACTGAGCATTGATTTTAATGATCTGCAGTGCGAATAAAACAAACTACGAGTAAATAAATTTTATATTTTATCAAAAATATTCTATTCATAAAACTGTTGACAGGGTTGACAACTGAAGTCAGTACTGTACAAAGTCCTCTTAATTATTTCTCAGCAGAAGTAGTTTATGGTTAAAATTTACTATAGCATTAACATAATGGTATGGATTATAAAAACCACAATAATATTTCTGATGAGATTCATAATGAAAAAAAATATGTAAAAGGATCAACTATTAATAGTATCACCAGTAGCCGGTACTTCGGCTAAATTCGTGCTACAGTGATCTTTGGCAGATACAGATAAATTTGAGCAATTAACAGCAGAAACTTCATTCGGTACAGTCAATCTCCATAATCCAAAGTCACTTCCAACAACAGTTTGCCACAAACGAACAGTGCCATCTTCACTACCGCTTGCATAAACGTGTCCATCAGGAGAAAATCTAACACAATGTAGAGGGCCAAAATGTCCCTTGCAGGTTTCTAGGATAAAGAAATAAAACATAAACTAACTAGATAAACGTTAGAGCTGGATTGTAAAGTAGACGATTTAGAACACTGAATGACTTAGATTTATTTGACTCGAATATATACTGATAGGAAGAAAGTTGCACAAACCATAAAATGCTTTTTCTTATGACACGATCTGAAAAATTATTTTACCACAAAACTGTTATATAATGTCACCATATTTCTTGAAAAATGACTGAATTTTAAAGGGAAAGTAACAGCCATACGGCTTTCAAAAGCATGTATATTACACCTTGAAAACCACTTTTTGTCTAGTAGTCAATGTAAAATATGGATATCATTTGTATCTAGATCATTAATCAACAACTCAAAAATTAGACTCATTTGGATGTAGAATCAAAGCTGATTAATCAGCAAGTCTCTATTTCATGACACCTTCACCTAAGAGGTAACGATAATTGTCTTTTGATCTGCCAGTCAGCTACAACGTAGGACCAGGCACATATATCCATCGGTCCAAGTTGCCACATCTTATTAGCACAAGATGAAGATCAAATTCATAGTAGTTACTTCAATGGTAGTAATATACAAAAGAAAAATAGTGTATAAAGATATAATACAGGAATAATGAATTAGTTCGTAGAGAGAAAGATATAAAGCAATTTTAATCTTGCGGTTTAAGGGAATACAAAGATTGTATACACCTACACCACTGTGATCGATTCTGAACCATGTCACCCAGAGTCTCCAATGTTACGATAGTCATGTGGACCCTAACCAAGTAATCTGCATCTACCAACATGGCTAAGACTAGAGGTTAGTGACTTTAAGGACTGATGCCACGTTTTGGTTTGGCCGTCCATAACTTTCTTCCAACCTGACATGATAGGAAGAAAAAAAAATCAATTTTCGATTGATTTATTCATTATGAGTCTTATTCAACATTACATTCATTCTAATTCAATGTGATGATCATTCACGGTAGTATTTGTTTTCTTTTGTCGTATGATATTTTCTTCTATATAATATACGATATTCTTGTATTAAATTGACATGAACTATGCTCAGTATGTGATTTGTTATAACTAAGTATTTTTCATACATGTGATTTTATTCTAATTATTAATCAAAAATGGGTGTAAAATCAATATATAAACCAGTGTATTTTAGACTATTTTGATCATCGTTCGTCGTGTTTTGGGGCTAATAAATCATCACTTATACCAGTTTTGTGTTCTTACTTCGCATCGTGGGAATTGCAGGGACCCCTCGTTCCGAGTATAAGTGATCAGCGTTTTTCTGGCACAACAATTGGTGGCGACGGGGTAAACCAATTACAATCCAAAGTCAGCCTTCAGCATCCAAATTTGTCATCAGTGTCCTTCAACGATATTAGTCATTAATCACAGTAATTATCATTACCGGTGTCAATTCAGATAATGACCCTCCCTTCCGATCGATTACAGCCACTATTTGGACGACAGTTGGAGTTTTTAGTCAAATTACGCACGCAGCTGTTAAGTCACTCATGCTTTGGAGATGCGACGGAAGTGGATGGACTGATTTCTCAACTGCACACAGAGCTGGAAAATGATTGCAGCCCCAATGAATCCTCGATAAACCGTATTTCAAACGGTACAACAGTCACTCAAGATCCGCCCGGTGGTCCAGTACTCTCCATTCCAGAAACATGCCCGGTAATGGACTCAAACTCCATTATTCCCGAAACAGCATGTGCAGAGTGACTAATCCAGCGCACAAACAGACGCCCTGTCGAATTTTCATAGAATTGTCTCAATAACCGACCATGAAACACAAAAACCGAGCAGTACACTGAATGCAGCTGCTCCAAATGGGTCTCATCATTCTGCGACAGAAGTTTCTGATGGATCTTGTTATTGAGATTCTCTTTTACCAGAAAATATGTCAGATGCATCGAATGATGGTCAGAAACCTAATACAATTTCTATAGATGCTGATTACTATAATGATCCATTATCTACAAATGAGGCTCCTAATAAAATTGGTATCTCAGAAGATTCAAACTCTGATGACTTCGAACCAAGTGGCGTTTATCCTTACTATCTGGTCAATTTTACTTGGTTCTCTGTTCAATATGTTTTAAATACAACCAGTCGTCGTGTTTTGGGGCAAACAAATCTTCACTTATACCAGTCTTTCTGTTCTTACTTCGCATCGTGAGAATTACAGGGGTCCCCCGTTCCTAGTATAAGTGATCAGCGTTTTTCTGGCACAACACAACCATCCCCAATACTAGTCAGCATTGGTTTTTGATGTAAGCCATATGCTTATTAAGCGTTTCAATTACAAACTGTTGTAGTAGTTCATCATGTAAAAGTATCTCTTACATTCATTTGGGAATTTCTCAAGCGAACCAAATTTTACTTCAAATTGATATGGATGGTCACATAACCCGAATAACTTGCGAAACCTATTATTTTGAATGTAAATGAGTTATATTTTATAGGCTTACTAAACTGCTCAATACTTATTATGTTGTCGACGTTTTAATACGCTAATTAATTGTTCTGTTTTGATAAACATTGAAAATACACTTATACGCTTGTCTTCCATGGGCGGATCTAACAATTTTTTTTAGCTAGATTCGTTCATCGTTTATGGTAGTCAAAGTTATAAAAACTCATTTAATTCATCAGATCACAACGCTGTACCATAAAATACTCAGAAATAATTTAATATAGTAAAGCATCCCAGAATATTACCTAATATTTCACCAGTTTCCGAATTTAATCGATATATTATGTGATCATCTCCACCACATACAAGTAATTTTTCAGTGGGATGCAAGCTGACAGAATTTACTGGACACGATAGACTGAATTTTGGGAAAGCTTCAGGTGCTTCTATCACGTTGCTATAACGCCAGTCAAACGTATAAGTCTGGATTGAGTTTCCACATGCTACCACAGCTTTCACTTGATCTTCATTATAAGGGATATGGAATTGAATATCGTTGACTGGGTCTGATAATTCCTTGGACCATATCTGATGAACTGCAGCTGGCTTCAGAATATCTCGGAGATCCCACAAGCTATATGCATGAGAATATGTCAAACCGTTAATATTCTGCACAGAATGTGATAATAAAATCAACACACAAGGAATACGGGAAATGACTACTAAGAAGAGATCAAATTTGTCATGACCGGTGATATTTTAAATTCGTAGACTGATAATTACGACGTATTGACTCATGTGAAGGCATATAAGTACACTACTTATTTGCTGCTGAATTTTTGTGACGCAATGGGGATTGCTTGCGGCTTCGCGAAACACATCGCTTATAAGCATTAATTTTAAATAAGCTCCTTACAATTCGTTGAGGCACATTGGTCTACTTCGGCTAACCGCGAAATAGACTTACGTAGTAAAATTGTGTAAAATTTACGTGAGAACCGAAAAGCCTGATGGTTGGAGCGTGCTAACGAGTTGGAAGCAGCAGCTATATCCGACAACTCCACGACGCTCTTTCAATTCATTCGAGCCACTGAAAAAATCTGGTGTGAGTGAACAACCTGTTGAGCTGATCAAACTGAACGTCTTCGACGACAGGCAGAGTTCGTCGAGGAACAGCTCAGCTGGTCTGTTGCCCTGGCGACATCGACCAGACTGTTTCGTCTTGCCTATCCTGTATCAACTGATCAGACAAACGAAGTGAAAATCCGCAAGGAACTCCAACTCCACTAGACCAAGCTAAGTTACCTCCGGGCCTTTTTAAGGACGGTCGTGGCTATCCGGTTAGGGAACTAACTGACTGGGTTGTTTGAAAGCGTTTGACAACTACTGTTTCAATAAAAGAGGACTTCTTGGATTGAATGAACCTTTACTAGACGTGCTTTTTTCAACTGCTTCTTCCGTTATTTCTCCACTCTTGCTTCCCAATTTTTATTTATTTTCGTTCGTTTGTATTATACTTATTTTTTTCGTTACCTATTCAAAATTTCATTTTCATTGTGGCGCAAATACATTTTGGTGTCCCTTTGCACCAACATTTGTTTGAACAAATTTTACTGATTAGCGTGAACAGGGTGTAAAATCAAACATATCTACTTCCTACTAAAGAACGGATTTTACACTGTCAACACTAGAATGAAGATCGGAAGTTTAAGGTCTCCTTACATTAAATATCTCATTAGCCGAGATTGATAAGTACACACAAAAGTTGACTATTGGTTACTCTGAATTTTATTTCATCAGCTTTTGTGATTTGCTATATAATGTGGTAGCCCAAACTTTTCTGTTTGATTTTACGTTACATAAATCATCTGCATACCTGTATCGATGTTTTATTCTAATAAGGTTATTATAAAATGAAGGGCATAATCGAATAGTAAATGCAAACATTTATTGTCCATTACATTACGTGTGTGGAGCATATATATCTGGTGCCCCCTTGCGCCAATATTTGTGTTCAAATAAAGATAAATAATCTAGGACGTGCTTTTGAGCAGAACTGAAACATAATAAGATGCAAATTCTTCACCAGTTACATCTGAATTAACTTGTGAGACCCAAGTACATACTACCTACATATTTAACAAAAAACTAAATTGATGCACTAACCGGATAGTTTTATCCTCTGATATGGATAAAGCAAGTTTATCTTCGCCACACCATAGCAGTCGACGAATTATTTGTTCGTGTCCCCCGAATACGGATATGGCTAAATGAGGCAGATAAAAAACATGAGTGGTATTAATGAGATCATAAAAATAATCTATGCAACACCAGACGAACATAATCTCAAACACGAAAGTGAAATAATTTACGTGATTTAGGAGCGTTTAGATCATAGACCGAAATCTTTTTCCAGTTATTAGCAGTGAGTAATTTTGCGCCTGAGTCAGTTTTGCTCAAGTCAACGCACCGAACAATATGATCTTGGGTGATTGAAAGGAGCTCCGAACCGGAGTTTGCATCCCATACTTTGGCAGTGAAATCCGCCGCCCCTGTAGCAGCCTTAGTAGCATGCTTGTCTAAGACACACGACCAGACAGCTCCTTTATGACCTAAAAATGTTCCAATCCAATCTCCTGTATCACCTTGGCGCAGAATTGCTTTACCATCTGAAATAAAAGAATAAACGAAATTAAGTGATCTGTGTTCTGAAAAACAAAATTAAATAAAATAGACACTGATGGCATTTAAACACAAAATAAAATCTATCTAGGCTAATATTTATTGCACATGACAATTGCGCTATGAAAGTAAGGTCACTTGACAATAACTTTTCCATAACTCGTCCCCTGAAGTAATCGATGGTTTACGGCTAGAATACGACCATTTGAAAGATTATGGTGAAATCCCAGTCTTTGATTTGAACTTAAGTGGAGACTGATACCTTTCTGTTTACAATATATCAGATGATGGGACTTCAGATAGCTTAAAATAGATAAGTGGAGCAAAAGTTATTGTGGTCCCCCTTTAATCTGGGAATAGTTCTACAATTGCTAGTTCCCTGTTGTTTTATTTCTTTGCCTTATTATTTATTGATTGGTCTTTGCTGGGAAAGTGGTTATATGTTGTTTCTATTTGCTGCAAAATAAAGACTAGTAGAAAATGTAAGGCGAATCAGAAACTTAACAAATGAAGAACAAAACGCAAGATCTAAAAAACCTTAGGAACTATAGAAAATGAATGATTTCAACCCGGTTATATAATATGAAGTCAAGGTTGGAAAGGACCTAATGATAACCATAATGAAGTGGTGGTAATAAACCACCTAGCCCGAACAACCAGTGCCTACAGTGTCTCTACTTCCTCACACATGAAAAGGGCTAGAATGGCCAAACTATGACTAGCCCCGAACTCCTTCAAGTCAAACTCTGAGGCCGGTCAAACCAACACCAAGTTATTCAGAGGATGGGCTGACAAACAGGCCCAACAACTGAATCTAATGAAGCTGAAATTTGTCTATGAAGGTGCAGTAAATGTGAATCAAAGGTTAGAAGATCCTGGGTCCAAGGTATGTAGTCGTGTGAGTATAGGAGATATGTCCTTGAAAATGAGCCACCTTATGGTCTTGGACTACTATTACAACACTCAGTAAGCGATATCTCTTAGTTTTGAAATATGCTGAAGATGAAATTTCATCTAAACACGTTCAGACTAATTGAGTAGTATAAAGAAAAAGAGGTTAAAATATGTAAATAGATTATTACAAGAATCAGAATGGTTTAAGACAAGTTTGTTAAATTGATTTAAAGATACAGCCATTGAAACTGCCTAAAGGTCTTAACCACACACCATTTCACAGGGTTATTGGCAGATGGCTTAGCGGCAAAATTAATCTATGAATGAACCAATGAAATTGGTGTTAGTCTACGATTTCGGCTTAAAACTTATTAATTACTAAGTCTAAACAGCATCTTAGCATCATGACTGATGTCCTTTTGTGACGGAAACTCTAAATCTAACTTCTAACACTAACTTCCAAAGTTACAACCTAATACTAGTACTAATTTATGGCCCACTTTTGAATCTTGTAAGTAGGTGAACTTTCTAAGGGTCCTCAGTCTCCCTACTTTAGGGAAACTTTGGGAAGATGGCACAAAAACCCCAAAATTTTCTCCAAGATAATGAGATTGGGTCTCACCACCTTCGGTCAATGGATTCCCCTCTGGAATTGACCAGTGGACTGGACATAATTACGTTCTAAATATCCGATATTTTGGTTAACGGCATTGAATTGTGTACCATTAACATTTATCCCTATCATAAGTCGAGATTGTTTGAGCACAGTTAAATAAGGATTTGCATGATCACCATGCACTCCTGTTTAATATACGTACCTTTTGAAGCAGTGATGAAAAGATGTCCGCAATCTGTCTCTCCGCTATAACAGATATCAACGACCGGACGTGTATGCCCAGGACAGTACACAGGTGACTGCTTTGGAGTCTGGATCATAACACGCCGGACAGTATTATCGACCCGGCTGGTTGTCCTTGAGGAAGCATCGTCTATCGTTTAAAACTACAAACACAACAAATAAGTGTAACATATCAATAAAATCAATTAGACAGAATAATTTCGAATGACTATGAACGGAATAAGAGCTTTGACTAAATGGGCTTCTCATGTACATCAACAAGTAGTCGGCGATACCTACAAGGACTCTAAGATTGTAGCAGTAAATTAATCCCAAATATAACTAGTTCTGTAAGCCTTCGAAATTAGTCTTGATTTCAGTAATTTTACTGGACACACTCCTGCTTAAGGCGTTTGATTATAAATCCTTATTAGATTATCACACAGTACGTCATGCCACTCAACCCTGGTAACAACTAGCCAGCTTGGACCAAATACCTCTTAACATACTGACTACCTTCTAAGTATATATCCAAACTCCTGCATTCATAACTTCTGGTTTAACTAGGTTTTGGATCCTTTGACCATACACGTGCTACAGATAACAGCATTGTCAAGCCCTGAATATCTTTGACGTCTCTAAGGTAAATTTAAGCTATCACAACCGGATGCTGTAATAAACCCGTTCCAGTTTTAGCATGATAGGTGGAATAAATGTAATGTGATCATGTTTCAGATCAGTAGATTCTATTCGTTGGACACTGTGAAAGTAGTTAACCTAAACTTAGTATGTAATTAATTCTCTATGATCTTTTACAAATCCTTATTCGTTGAGAAGTTCAACAGTCCTCTGTAAAGTAGTTTATACCTTCACACACATACAAAACTATGTTGCTGGAAGAAGATAAAGACCTTTTCAAAATAAATACATTTTAATTCATTCAATCACTTTACATGGGAAACAGACACTCAACTAGCTCAATGTATTTTTATTTGCATATGCTTGTGAGTTGTCCCACCTAGGTTAAAGTCCTGTAGGGCCAGTGAAATGTCACTGAGCCCTGGCCAAAGCATCAAGCAGTTGGGTCACTGAATATCGGACGGATCATCGATCCCTGTCAAGGTAAAGGACAACCAACGTGCATCAGTTAATCGTACGCCATGAACTGGCCCATGCGGTGGTGGTCACACTTTCTCTTGTGCTTATTCTCACTGATATATTTCTGTAACAACGTCCTTCGTGTTGTACAGTCCTCAAAGCATCCATAGTACCTTGATAAGACGAAAGGTTGATCCATGTTAAGTGCTGACTGAGAGGTGTGACTACGACGTTAGCCGTTGGTCACATTATTCCCGTCTAGTTGACTATCGTGGCTCTTTAGCGAGCATTGGCAGCTTGTAGATGCTTTTGTGTAATATGTCTGTTAAAATATCAACCACTCATAAGTATGGCCACAAGGAAACATGAACGCACATCTGTTTGTAACTTATCCAATTGTATAAGCGAGACAAGATTCACTGTCGATTGTAAATTCATGTTTCTGTTTAACCACTATCAACTATTTACTAGAAGTTTTTAATTACGTGACCACTGCCTGTCTAATTTCCAGTTGCTGAGTTCCACGATCAAACAGAGGATACGAATGCTAGAAACTTACGATGAGTTTAAAATATAAATTTCCTGCAATCTTTAGTCTCGTTTAGACTGTTCGTCGGGCAGTGCCACGTATTTGGCTTAAATTAATTCTGGACTTATACAAATTCAGTCTACAACGCTGTTAATCTACAGTACCTCGTATATAATCCAGATTTGAACTACTGTCTTCTTCAAATTTCCAGCACTTGGAAGCGAGAGTAACCCAGGCGAGTTTCATAATTGCATTGGATACTTTCGTGCTGCGTTTATGATGCCTAATAACGTTTCGTAGTTGCTTTCACGTAGAGTAGTCATATATTCTGTCAGTGCCATCGATTTCTAGTCGAAATCATGCAAATTTATGACTCGTAATCCGACATATTGTGGAAAAACTCATTGCATGTACACGAGCAATCTTAGGCCATGTGCTAACTAGACACTTCATCGTACGTAATATGTTACTTGACGCTAGATAAAAATCTCACTGCATCAACCTTTTACGAAATGGTCACGTTATCTGAACCTTCTAAACCTTAGTTACATTGGTGATTACCAGTTTAATAAATGTTTACTATACGCTCTGCATTTTCTGTTATCTGACACGGTGAATCATGACTGAACTTCCTTATTACACGGAAGTCATTTTAATTCCATTTTCGGTTTATCTAGATGCAATACAAGTTCAGAAAATACCTAAACCACCTCTAAAATTCTCCACGAACGCCATCACAGTCTACGTATATGTTTTTATTCACACATCCGACTGTTACAATAATAATACCTAAACAAATGTTTAGTGCAACTGTCAATATACGCAAGAACGATTTTTTTTCGATGTGACGTTATAACACATCCGAACTATTGTAGCTATTTAATTTCGGCGTCGTTCATTATTTTAGTAGGTATTGTTTCTTCACACCTATTATCTAAATGATGATGTCGGCACGACAATCAACTGTTCAACTACTCGATGATTTAAAGGCTGTCCAGTTCAGTAGGTTGTCTGACAACAATGTTATTCGCGCAAATCATCAGTTTACGCAGTCGAGAGAATCTCCTGCAAATTGAAAACGACATTTTCGCCCCCAGCCCGACACTGACAGTGTTTTTCATTGATATCATTGACATGAGTCCAGAGTGACACTCTTGGTTCCTTATGTTTTTTTCGATACTTTTCGGTTCACTTATCGAACAAACATAATCGTTTAAACACTTCATCAGTCCACCTTTGCTCTCCATCTGTAGTCTTCGACCCTTAAATAGAGTTCGACACTTCCGAAGGGAAGCTTCCAACGACACTGTCTTATGTCACACTTTAAACCAATAATGGTACAAACATCGACATTGATTGATAATACACTTATCATGCTATCGTTGTAGCATCATTACTCTTGTGGCAAGCTTAACGTTTCTCATCTGAGGACTTCAATCACTCGTCAAAACTGTATATTTCAACGCACTTTGGTAGAACTTCAAAATGTTCTGTTTTTCTTAAATTATTTTTATGGTTAATCACTTTACAATCAACCAAGGTCCTAGTAATTTATTACTATTCGCTGTTTCACTGGCCCTTCAGTCGTATTGGTTGGATGCGTCCTGTATATTATTCTCTTTGAATATAATCTGAATAAGGGTTAGCAGGATCGAGTTTGGAAAAGCCAACTTCGATGTATAATTACCATTACTATTTGTGTACTCACACATGATTTTATAGGGTCTTGAGCAGGCATCGTTTTTAGCGAATTGTCTAATTGCTTGTAATAGGACTACTCGGTAGGAATTAAAACCAATTCAGCGTTCTAAACACGATTTAATGGGGTATTTTGCATAATAAATTAGCATCAATACCATTGGTTAATGACATTCCACTAGACCATAAGGAGCCGTAATTAAACAAAATGTTCTGCCCCACGGACATGGGTGGATTGAAGTTATCTCCTCATTATCATGTTTGCTGACCAGTAACGTCACCCCCCTCCTTTTGTGATGTTAGACCCCCTTACGTTTGTGATATGAATTTTGCTTTAATCAAAGCCCATAGTTGGGATACACTGTCTCTACTAGTTCCATGTTACAGGCGAATCAGATAGTTAAAGAAATTGTATTATGGGTTAGACATCCATTTAGTATATCACACTGGTATGAAGATAAATAATGGTAAAAGTTAAAAAACAGGTTAGATTATATGTGGTTTAAAGATGGTGAGGACTAATAGCAAACCAAGGGATATGAAAGAGTATAAATTTATAGGACTTTCAGGGTAAGAAAAATAAAACACTGAGCAACTCACAAGAACTTAGGACATTTCAGGCTCCGTATGATCGAACTTCTTATTATTTTTTAATATATAATATACTTGACATGACGGATAGCGACTACAGTAGTATTAATATAATAGACTCCCATATACGTGTACCGAATCCTTGGCACTTTTTATTCGCGTGACAGTAAATCCCACGCTTTATTCGAGAAAATTTCCCCTATTAACTATTCTCCTCGCTGACCCGGGTGCTTGGTACGGAACGCATACGCATCACCGTCTTCCACCCAGCATCAAATGGTTAAGTTGAACGGTTCCATTGCCAACTTAAGAGTGCTCTGCGAGCACACGAAAACGACAATTGGTACGAAACCTTACCGCTTACTCTCTTAGACATCAGAACGAGCTTGAAGGCAGACCTCCAATTTTCTGCCCCTGAACTTGTATACGGCACGAGATTGCGTCAGCCCGGGGAATTTTTCACACCACGGAGCAGTAACGATTTCGGTAAATCAGAATAAGTCCAACGACTGTCTGCATTTATGCGAACGCTGCCTCCGGTGTCAACTCGAATACAACATAGACAGGTCGCTCTCCCTCGAGAGTTATCTACCTGTTCACATGTTTTCATACGAGTATATTCGGTATGCAAACCTTTGAAACAGCCTTACGAAGGCCCTTTTCACGTGATCGCTCGTCACGAAAAGACATGGCCGCATCGAGATCGTTAGTATTGATTGTCCCAAACCAGCACACGTCGATGACAGTGCCCTATCTGATAACTTGAGATTCAATTCCAGACCTATCAAATTTACTAGCGGGATCCTTAGATCTTCTTCAGATCCCACGCTAGATACATCTGAGACCTCATTCTCACGTCACGGTCAACAGCACGTGTCATCTGCACCATCTACGGAAGAGACGACAGTCTCACGTCCAGATCAGCAGACCACTCCGCCCTTGACTTCGAATGAGATTGCAGGCTCACGCGATACGAACGAAACTACCGTCTCACGTTCCGGTCGCCGAGTAAGGTTTCCAGTACGCTTCCGCGACTAGTCACACAGTTAACAATCGATACGGTGTAGGACTATTCCTATACTACATGCATGCTACACTTCCCTTTTTTCGATTTCTTTTCTGTATCCTGAGCCCACGCCTCCGACCATCCCCGTTTGGTATCGTCGACTTCAGTCAACTTTG